CTTCTTCGTAGGTGAAAAAGGTGGAGAAGGTGAAGCGGGTCTTCGCTTTGGCGGTGAAGGAGTCAGCGGAGGCGGTGGTGGTGGTGGCGGTGGTGGCTGCAGCGGATCTTGAAATCCAACACCTCCTACGACGAAGTCCCTCCCGGATTTGCTCTTGAGCGATCTGCCGCTCGAATGCGCAGGGCTGTACCCGATGGGCGGTGACGGAATCGTCGGCGACGACGGAGAAGGAGATGATACTGAGTTAGACAACGGGTACGACCCCGTGCTCAGCGTCGAGCTCCCGGACGCGCGTTTCCCCGCCTCGGCCGGCGGAGACGCGTTCCCCGGGCTCGAAGGCCCGTCGGGCGAGTAAAACTCCTCCGCCGGCGACCCACCGCCGTCGGCATTCTCGCACCCTTGCTGGACCTGGCGAGAGAGCAGCGCGAGGGGACGGAGCTCCGGCGAGCCAGCCTTCTGGAGGGGGGGCGACCGGGGCGCCGGTTCGGAAGCCGCAGAGGAGGAGGAGGGGCGATGGTAGTGTCCACGGGAGTCGACGAGGGTGCCGAGGTAGAGGAAGTCGGGGGCCGCGGGAGGCTTGCGGTCTGAGGCGGCGGAGCACGGGGGAAAGAGGCGGAGGGAGTCGGATCGAGCGTCATCGCCGCGAGAGGGACGGAGGCGGCGGTGGATGAAGAAGGCGGCGGCGGCGGCGAGTGCGGCGAGGGCGAGCAGGGGGAGGAGGACGGCGGGGAGGAGCTGGGAGGCGGGGGCGTGGCGGGGAGGGGCTGAGCTGGAGCTGGGGAAGATGAGGGAGGAGAGGTTGGCGGGGAAGGTGGGCTGCGTCGTAGCCGGCGGGGCGGGGTACGACGGAAAGAAACCGTGCTGCTGCTGCGAGGTCGAGGAAGAAGAAGAGGAAGCGGAGGAAAAGGGGTACTTTGGGAACGGAGAAGCCGCAGGAGGAGAGGCGGAAGGCAAAGGGAAGAAAGGTACGTGGAGAGCTCTGCGGTTGTGAAACAGAGATGGCATCGTGGAAGCGATCAAGCAATGCTGTGTAGTACGTACGTCTTTATGCAAATTGCTATGCGTTTACGTTACGTGCTGAGGTCAGCTTGTGGTTGGTAAGGCGGAAGGAAGCGCATGCATGCACAGAGGAGGTTGCAGGGAAGGAGGAAGAAGAAGAAGAAGAAGAAGAAGAAGAAGAAGATGATCGATGTTGATGGTGTTGAGCGGAGTGAGCCTGTAACTTGTTGTTTTGTGGAGGAAAAGACGAGTGGTCCACGTGAATAGTTGAGAAAGGGACCCACCTGCAGAACCTCCAATGATCACATGGGTAACCGAGGCGGGTACAAGATTCAGAAGCTAGTTTAGAAAACTGAGGGAGGTGGCACACTCCTAATGCCCACTCATTATGCTTAATTACAACCGTTAAGTTGTGTCATTAGACGTTAATAAATCAACTTCATTATGAGCTTTGATCACAATCAATCAAATAAATTTCCTTCGATTTGCAGCACAAATCCGAAGAGAATCATATGTCACATCGACCACAGGCAAAGAAGGCTAAGATAAGGAGATAGAAATAAAAAGGCCGTGCGATACAACTCGGGAGAATATTGAGGCTGTGCACGTGAACATAATTGGGAGGCCGATGTGCCCAATTATATATTATTAGCATATTCTTCGTTAGTAGCATCCACAGGATATGTGCCCTCACAGCTTAAGATGATTGGGAGAAGGTACCAGCGTTCATGTGGGAGATGTCCTTCCTTCCTTCCTTCGTTAAGTGGTTCATTACCATGGTTTTTCCTTTTGTTATCTACTGAGAATAATTGTTATGAAAAGGTTTGGTATAATAAAATATTTTAGGTATATTAATTACACTGATCTTGACAACCTAATGATATTGAATTAAGTTAGGGACAAGTAATTTGGACATAATTAGAAGACTTAAGTTGCAGAGATAATAAAAACCTAATGACAAAATTAATTATGTCAAATCTATCAGGTACATTTCACTTTGAGTCAGACCACACACTATCAAATTTGAAGATAATAAATGGATTATCTAAAAATAAAAGATACATGCATGTTAATGTCTATGTATTATAACGTGAATTGCGAGACAGAATAATACCATGATTGTTGTAGAAAACAAATTCTGAGTACCCTTCGGTGCTACGTATAATTGTTTGAATAAAATGATGATGATGATGATGATAATAAATCATAACGTTGAAATGATGTGGTGAGAAAATAGAAAACAAATATCACCACATAATAATTAGAACAAAAGGATTAAATTAAGTGCCAGGCTTTGTTGGTCTGCCGACAGCAAAAGAGGCGCAAAGCACGAGAGAGGGGAGACGGGATGGGGCAAACGACAAGCAGCTACGTCACACCACCGCCAGAAGACTGAACGGTTCCCCGAGACACGTACGAATTGGAACAAAAGTACAGATGGACGGTGCGCATCTGATCAAACTCTAGTCACGCTTACACTGCAACTTCGAAGTAGCTCTCCCCGCAAAATTATATTTATTTATTTATATATAAGTGAATTCCGGAAAAAAAAAATTTATAACTGAAATTTTTTTAATAAAATCTCAATTTAAATTTTTTTTACTAAATATATTTTTTAAATAATCCTTCTATCCGTATTAATCATCGCCCTCTATCTCGTCAATTGCCTCTTTACCCCCATGATCCTCTTTTACCGTGAACATTTGTAGCACAAGTGCTATTGCATATAAAGATGACTAGCGATAAAAGGTTTTGACCTCGTCAAACCCCTTGCAATCACCTCCCCTCCCCCCCCTCCTCTTTACCTCGTTAGATTTGTTGCCCGAAGCTCTCACATGAGAAAGAAGGGGTAAGAGGGCTGCTACCACCTCCATTGATCCTGTCGAGCCCACCTCTACAAATCTCGCTCACAACTCTCGCATAGGAAGGGGAGAGTGCAAGGGCCACTGTCACCTCCTTCCTCACACGAGTGCTGCAGACGAGACATGCAAAAGCAAGATCGACGAGATTAATAGAGGCAACAACAACTCTTCCACCCCCTCTCGAGGATAACGGGTGACGAATCCTATAGCATAGAGACAACTATTGTGGTCTAACGAGGGAGCAAAGGCAAAGACGACAATAGATCAAATGAAGACAAGGGTTAAACAATTTTTTTTACATGACCAAAACCACTGTACAAGAATTTCTTGAAGTTTGGACGGTTTAAGAAATTTCTCAAAATTATGATATATATATATATATATATATATTTCCATGATTATGTAAAAATTTCCATTAAAATCCAGCAAAAATTTTTGGCTTAAATATTTCTAATATGGTTTAATATTAAACCTAGTTCATGTTAACATGATTATGATTGACATGATTTCTAATTATGATTGACATGATTAATTCATATTAAAATGTATTAATATACATATCAAAATATATAAAGTAATTTTAAAAATATTATACAAAATTTCAAGAATACTAACATTAGACGTTTCAACTAATAATCGAAAGATAGTCAACTGACTGAGGTTAACCTTATGAGAATAAATATATTTTCTTAGACTTTATATATATGTGCTAAACCTAAATATATAGATGTATGAATATAGGTTTTTTTTTTGTTTCTTTTTCTTTTACTGTGAATATGGTTACTAATAATTTATTAAACGAAAGAAGTGAGAATAAATAAAAAAGATAAAGCTTTTTCTCAATAAGTCTTACCTAAAGGGCTGCATGTGTTCTCGGAGCTCAAGAACAAAGGCAACACAAAATGGCATTATTGCCGAAGCAGAATAGGCAGAACCTAAAGGCCACACCCATGTTTTCCTAAGTAAAGCCTCCAACGGTCGATGTAGCCGTGGGGAAGAAAGGTGAACAGAACCGTTGCATTAGCTTTAGTGGACACTCCTCAACACACTAACATCCATCCGTTGCATTATTCTTAGGGTTTTGATGAAGCTTCTTTTTCGATGATGATATGATATGATATCATATCATATCCATGGTTGGGGCATATTTTTACGCAGATCCCCATGCATGGAAACCGGGTGAAGACTGAGCACAGTGCAGTAAGATTTCACATGATGACCAATCGTATTATTATATTCATGTTCAATTGTATTATTATATGCACTTGGGTCATTTGTTCTGGTTGCACCTAAACGATTTTAACGTGTTACTACGTGACGAGAAGGGACACCTCTCTGCCGACTGAGTTTTCACTGCAAACATAAACAGGACGTAAAGAACAATGACGGTGGAGAATAATGAACACGTACCGTACCAAGTACATTTGGCATTTATGGACACATCCATGCCACCCTCCCCTTGTGATATATCACCTGCAAATGCAGCAGTTGCATCAAAATATTTACTATCATAATAATCAAATTCAAAAAATAAAAAAATATTATATTTCTTTTATATTATAGCAAAAGAGAACCATAATAAGAGAGTATATTATAATAAATGCCAATCTTATTCCTATGAATATACATCTAAATTATGTAACTTAGCATGAAATTTTAACCACCTGACATGTGTGTTCATTCAAAATTGTCCAACAGAATTAAAATCTCAGCCTACAAAAAAAAAACCATCATGTAAGTCTGTAAGATTTGTGTTTTTACTGAATTAGGTTTGGAAACAGTCCAGTTGATCAAAGTCAACCAAACAACAGTTTGACTGCCCTGCAAAAATCTCTGGTCATCAAGGAAATGAAGGAGAACATCATCATAACTTGTCCAAATAAATTAAAACAGAGCTTAATCAAAATCAACTCCTACTTCTTAGGGGTCAAAAAAGATAAAAGGATCATGTAGCAGCAGACCAGATGCTCGATTCCTGGACCCTATGATGGCCACATGAGAAAAAAGAAAAGGTTAAGAATTCTTTTAGATTTGAGACCCACAATGTTGGCATGCATGCACCATTGCTCAACTCAGAACAGTCCCTATGCCTAGTAGGAAGTGTTACATAATTGGTCATGGCTTTCTTTTCCTGCACCTTTTGTCCTCCCCTCTCTCATCTTTTTCCTCATTACATGGTTGCCCTTGTGCTCACAAAGTGAACAAGATTCCCGGGGCACTTTAGAATGACAAATGACTGCACCAAAATGAGCAGCATGAAGCATCAGCAAGTTACAGTAAAATGCATTCAACCATGCTTCAATCGATGGTCAGCAAAGCAAAGACTGTAATATGCCTGAACAGCACAAACCATGATTCCTTTTTCCTGTTATATTTTATTTACAGGGGCATCTCGTAGATATGTTTCTTTAAGCGTAAAAAATGAAGACATGACAAGAAGGCATTAATTAAGAACATAGCATGACTAGATCAGACATACCGGTCTTGGTTGACCTGCTTGCCAACATCTTTGGATACCTGCAAGACCATTTTCATAATCAAAATGTAAGCCAGCCCAAACTTTGTGGTATATCTTTTCAGCCCACTCAAAATTGTCCAAGAATCACCGAGCAGCATATTAATCAAACTTCAGTTATATGCCATGGACATGCATAACTATGATAAAATTCAAACTTCATGCCGATCAAAGAATATAACTCTGTAATAACCTTATCTAGAATGGGCATTCATCAAATACAGCACATACATACCTAAAAATGAAGATCTGAAGCAAAATCTGTGGTTTATGATCCAATGCCATCACGTTGTTAACACACCAAGGCCAAGGTGTTCATGATGCAAGTTGATAATATCTACTAAACATATATCACCTAAGCTTTCTCATGGACGAAATACTTCACTTCTTCCTCCATAACATTTTTGTCTCGAGTGGCTTGAACAACAAGGCTGCACCTTTAGCTTCATGCTGCCAGCAAACCTAGTTGCATTAAACCTGCACTAGAAATTTCATCTGGGTGAAGCCACTATAGAATAGTAGCTACCCAATTAAAGCCAAGTCAGATTTGGATGATACCTCAAGATTTTTACCAAAAGACCATCCTACTGAATAACTAATGAACGTACAAGTACCGTACATGCCAATCAACAAGAAATTCACTAGAGTTCAACATCCACTAATTGAATTGTATAACACCAACAGTCAGGGCAAAGGCCTGAAACCACATGCTTCAGATGAAAGAAAGTAAGAAGGAAGAGAGGGGAAGACATGTACAAGACATCCTACATCAAGAGTAAGATCAGCAATGACTGGCTCCTGAACCAGAACCCTGATACCTTCTCTGAGACAAGGCATTCATCTGAAAGAAGATGTAACAGATACTGGTATCAAAATCCTGATTTCCTTGGTTTCTATTTGAAGTTTCATACTTGACAGGCTTTTTATCCTATCATCCTCATATGTGTCTACCAACATGCCATATTTGAAATTTGCTTCTTCGGAACAGAAAACTAAACCTTAAACGACATGAGCTTGATGAGACTATGATAAGTAAACTGAAGAAATGAGATTGCGGGCGATCACATAAGGTTAAATTCCAAAAGGTTATAACCTTCTTACCCAGTAGTCCGGCGATATGGTGTTTCATCTTCCCGCATTAAGTTATGAAGATGCTTTATTTTTTTGAGATCTTCATCATCAGGTATCAAGAATTCAATATGACTCTCAAAACGTAAAACCAAAAAAAAAAAAGTTTTTTTTTTTTTCATCTTGGCAAACCAGTAGCATTTGTTGACAAATCCACTGCATTCTTGATTGATTCCCAATAGTTTGTTTGAAATTGCTCTGCATGTAAGTATTGTTTAACATAGGTCAGCTAATGAACTTCAGTTAACAATTAAGAGCATCTCATATATATCATTGACTCAAAAACAGAGCAAATATGATGACCCAGGGACCAACAATTAAAGAGGGCAAAGGAAGCAAGAATAAGCTTTACAAGGCGTCAAGAAAGTATTTGCAAGACAGATTTGAGCAATCCGCTCATCATCATCCTCATTAAAAAATAATGGCAATAATATACTTCAGTAATGAAAAACAGAAAATAAAAAAAAGAGAAAAATCTAATTCACAAATTACAGAACTTTTCAGAACCTAATGGTTGGTCGGTTTGGTGATGTATCTTCACCTCCAGATTCTAGACGAAGCGAGAATTAGCTTCGTTCATGCAGCATAGTTCACAAACAAACAGATTTTACAAGAACGAACCAAACTAAGAAAGAAATGCACAATAAATCTTCACATAATATACACCAAATGCAGAGAATCGATCCAAGATCCAACAAATTGACTACATTTTTCATATAAGCAAAGCAAACTATTTCATGTTCCCGATTTAATGTGTGACAAAACAATGCATTTCGAATCGAGCTAACCCTAAACCGTAACTGCTCACAAGGTATATTCAAGAACTGATGTTTCCCTAAAATTCGAAGAACGCTATCAAATAATAACTGCGTCAACAAACCAGACATGCATTAAAGCTCGTAGAGACACCTCTGTGGGGTCAACGCCTGCTTGTTCTTCGATCAAGGATAGATGGAATCCGAAGGGATTTCGGGTTCGTCGCGGCAAGAACGAGGGAGGAGAGGGACGGGGAAGGGAAGGTGGGGTGGGGTGGGGTTGCTGTTGCTGTTGCACCCGGTCATCGTCACCAGGATTCCTCACTCTTTGGGTGCGTCTCCTGCCGTTAGATCGAATCGAACCTCGTCGCGTTTTTGTTCGATTCAGTTAAAATAAAATAGTCCCAATCGAAATTAATTCAAATCCATCTAATCGAATCGATTTAAAATCAATTAATTTGATTGATTTGTAATTTTAAATATTTTTTAAAAATATTTTTTTAAATGAACTGATTCAACTAAATTAAAATCAAAATATTGATTCAATTGGGCGATACAATAATATTTATGAAATTAAGCTTTGTAAAATTTGACGTTTGTGTCGATTTGATTAATTAATTTAAATCAATAAAAGAATTTGGGATAATAAATTTAATTAGATTGATATCATTAAATTAAAATCGGTTCAATTCGATTCAAATCAATTAATTAATAATTAGAATGAAATTAATAGCTTAATTATATAGTGAGACATTTATTTTATCATCTTATCATGGAAATCATAAATATCACTTTTTTTTTTACACTGTAAATGTCATATAAATCTATCATCCCAACTTGTTTTCAGTCTTTTGAGGATTTTATTATACTTTTTTCCAAATGATGATGTAATATTCTTTTTATTATGATTAAACAACCTTGTGTGACTTTTAAAACTTCACCGGCCTTATAATCAAAACCCTTAGAAACTAAAGGACCCAAATATATTTAATTATTTCGTATCTTTAGAGTATAAGTTATTACGTAGACTCAACTTATCATTCAGTAAACATAAGTAATATAAAAAGAATCTAAAATTTAATTATTTTAATATATATATATATATATATATATATATATATATATATATATATATATATATATATCCTTATCTTTGGAGATGGTGAAAACATCTCTATCACCATCCATCACAATAAAGCACTCACTAATCTTTTTTTCATATTTTTTTAATAATTTCATCATATATATTCGTATTCTTTGTATCTCTAATACTTAATAGATTGTGATCTCGACTTGTCATATTAAGATATACCCCTATTAGAAAATCTTTCTCGTCAAATTTTATCTTAAGAAGCTGATACCTTACTATCCATAGTTTTAATTTTTTTTCCTAATAGCATGAGATATTAAAGCGTTTTCAAATTATTCAAGTATTACTATATTATTCCTATATAATATCATATCCACAAAGCTAAGAGTCGGGAGGTAACAAGCAACAATATCTTATCTTCTTCATTAATCTTCATATCAATTTTCTTTAGTTGATCCAATATTCTTTGAATATATTCAAATGCTCTACAGATCCCAAATAATTATGATGATGATAATATTATCATCGATGAAAATATGAATAGTACTCATGCATTTTGCCTTAACGTCATTCTAATCTTTTTCGAGTGTACCTATTCATCCCTTCTACGTTCTTTTTTAGTTTTATTGAACAATGAGATCCTTCGTTCACCTCTATCATAAAGTGAAACTATTTTTTTCATCAGATTTTTTTATAAATAATCGATGACATACATATTGAATCTCTGATCACCAAATCATTTAGGCTCTAATACGACTTTGTTTGAGAGGAAAAAGAAAATTTTAAAAATAAAAGAAAAATTCACCATTAGATTAACAATCAAAATAATATACCAGCAATCGATGTACGATTTAACCGTAGTTCAATAAATTTCACTTACGAAGAAAACTAAAATTTTTATATATTAATTACAAGATCTTGAGTTATCTCTATTGAATAAATTTTGTTACGTACCAAAGAGTACTTTCAGGACTCAACATATATTTATAAGAATAAATCTTATTGAATCTTTTTTCGTAATGTTGTCGGTATAAACAAACGACGACAAACTTACTGAATCTTTGATACCAAATCATTTAGGCTCTAATACCACTTTGTTTGAGATGAAAAAGAAAATTTCAAAAACCAAAGAAAAATTCACTATTAGATTAACAATCAAAACAATATATCAGCAATCTATGATTTAACGTAGTTTGATAAATTTCACTTACGAAGAAAACTAAAATTTTTATATATTAATTACAACATCTTGAGTTATCTCTACTGAATAAATATTATTACTTACCCAAAGGGTACTTTCAGGATTCCACATATATTTATAAGAATAAATCTTAATTCATTAAGAATAATTAGGACTCATTCAATCAACTTTAAACTCCCAAAACTACTTAACAATCCAACTCTTATGGTGTCCCTAAACATATAATCTTAAAAGTATGGGATAAATTAAGCCCATTGTTTCTAACACATCTATCATATCCATAAACGAAGAAATAATTTCTCCACTATGACAGCGACGTTGTTCTAGAGAAAATGCTTTGGCAGGTCAAAGCAAGCTAATAATTCTCATGGAAAAATATATATGTACCAAAATTATTTCCACGTACACGTAATTTGGTCAAAGTCTTTGTCAAACCTGTGACTGTCATGAAATATTTTCCTTTCATCTCGCCGAAATCACCGTCGTATCCGATACGTTTACTTTCGAAAAATAAAAAAATAAAAAAAGACAAAAAAAAGGTCCAACGACCTGACTAAAAGAAAATGACGCGGAAACGGAACCCGTTACCGGTCAGACGTGTAACCTACACCTTTCGTGATTGGATGCAGTTGTGGCCCCCCCGGGCGCATCACGCAGGGGCCAACACAACGGAAAATGATGCGCGTGGCGGACCGAATCACCCCGTTAACTTTATCGGGTGATGTGACACAAAGAATCGTCTTTCTTGTCGGCCCCCGTGTTATCACCATTGGAAGTTTTAAGACAACTTGGCACATTTACATAAGAACAAAGTGTCAATGTAACATTCTTAGAACTATAGTGAGAACGAGATGTCGCATTAGTTGGCGAAGGGTACACGTGGTCACCCAGAAAAGTTTCCGGGTCGGTTCAGGCACCTTCGGCTCGGTTAAGGCGAGCGGAAACGGGAGGCAGTCTCGAGGTTCCAACATAAGAATAGGGGTAGTTTGGTAACTCCAACCCGCGTCAAACACACCACTTCTTTTGTTATTCGACTGACCCCACCACATCAATTAATTAGCATCGCGTTTGCCGTCTCCCTCCAACCAACACCTCCGCCTCTTCCAAGAAAAAGAGAGACGATGGCCGCGCCGCGCCCCCTTCCTCGTCTCCCCTCCTTCCTCGCAGTCCTCCCTCCCACATCGAAACCCTAGACGCCCCGGCTCTGGAGAAATTGATTCCCGAGGAGGGTCCTCTCTGATGACCATGGATGCGACCACCCCCGCCAGGCTGTCAGTCGGCTTCCTCTTCCCCTCGTGGTGGGAGATCGAGGTCACCGTCGCCACGGCCCTCCTCGTGGTCGGTGTTTACTCCCTGCTGGAGAGGATATCGTTCGGCGATGCCGGAGGCGATGACGATCGGCCGCTTGGTGGGGATGAGGCCCCGCTGGCCGCCAGAGTGCTGCCTGCACGGCAGTCGGATGCTAAGGAGAAGGTTGGACAATTCAAGCTCGTCTCTCTTTTTTCTACCTTGATGGTGATTATATTTTGCAAGATTTGTCCTGTTGTGCTGGAAAAATCTTTCGTTTCATTATCAAGGATTGATCTTGTTTGATTTTGATTACAGCTTCATAATTTGTTTGATGTAATCTTGTTGATCAGAGGCTGCACCAGTTTATTGAGGCCTTTATGAACCAAGAATAGATGCAGTAAATATAAATAAGTTGTTAAATCTATAAATTTAATAATAGAAGAGAATGAAAAGGGGCATAATAAAAAAATTGAGGAAGTAGAAAGTAGTAAAGACAATGAAGAAGTTAGACAGACTAAGCTCATTTTATATTCCATCAATTAAATCATTACAGCTGATCCTTCTCTTTCATTTTTTATTATCCATCAAAGTTACATCTAAATACAAGGATCTTTATATTAACTAAAATTAATTGATGACTGAAATCTTTTCAAAGAAAAGACCACTTTTTAATTGGTTTGCTCTTCTGCTTTGTGATTGCCAAGTTTATACTCTTCAAGTGTCTGAATCAAGAGCTAGTTGTTTTGATTTTCTTGTCTTACAGCTCTTCCTTCAGCATCCAGCATCCATGATCATCGAAGATTATGGAGTTAAATGTGCTGTTATGTTTTAATGGCAGCTTGTAACTATTGGCTTTGGCCAGCGATGAAAGAGGAAATAAATGTGTTCCCAATGATTAGGGGTGATGCAAAGTTAGGTAAAGAGAAAAGTTTGAAGGATGGTGTATTATCATGGATTGAACTTACTGATTTATATTGGTTCTATAACACCTCGACTTAGTTCCACAACGGAAGTGAGCAAATATTTAGATTGACTTATAAGGGTCTGATGAATGTATTACTATTAACTTGGATTTAAGCATTTTGTGCAAGTGGATTAGGCTCACGAAGTTAGTAGGCTAGATATCTCATCAGATTGGGTCATGACAATTGGTACTTGAGTTGACCTAGTATTGGGTATGGTGAGGGGCTCAATTGAGTATGGTAAGGATTATCCATACACGATAGTGTTAGAAGGCACATCACGACATGAAACCATCATTGGGCTAGACATCTTGTACACCGTGTTAGGGTTTGATTTTGAGCTATGTTTGGGTCTTGACAAGGATGTCACGCTCTTAAACGAGGAGATTTTAACACCCTGATCTAATCTCACATCTAGATTGGGAAAAGACTTAGGTTGACTTTTAAGGGTTTGATGAATATACTACTATTAACTTGGGTTTAAGAGTGGATTAGACTTAACAAGGTAGTAGGCGAGTTATCACACAAGTCTGAGTCAAGTTTGCCTGATCATTTAGTCATAGATATGCAATTCTAACCTTATAAATTTGATAGCTTTTTTTATTTGGTATACTCTTATTCTATAAACTGATGATCGAGGGGGATTTTATTTGGTATACTCTTATTCTCTTATTCTCTAACCTTATAAATGTGGGTTGCTTTACCTGTGAGGTTTCATAAAATAAATTTTCATTTCCTTGACATACAGTTGTCCACTTTATTTTGTAGATGAACCAGATCAAAGTCGACCCCCAAGGTGCTTCCGCATATGTAGTCAAGGTATTGTTTTGTTGAATTTAACTGCCTCCTATATGGAGATGAAATCATTCTATTTCTTCAGTAGTACAGCACATCAGTTGTTTGGCATGTGAAAAGCCTTGAAGTTATGCTTGATTATTTAGTACCATGATATTTAACATTATTTTCTTTTGTTTTGTCATTACAATATGGATTTTTCTGTTATTCAGCTAGAGCTATTGGCTGCAAAGAACCTAATTGGTGCAAATTTGAATGGTACATCTGATCCTTATGCAATAATTACATGTGGGGAACAAAAGCGATTCAGGTACGTGTGCACTTTAGACTTCTTTATCAATAATGCTTGACATTGTATACAACTATATTATATTGAGATTTGTTTGTAATACGTATCTGTGTGCGTACGTGTATGCGACCTCTTGCGCATGCATGTCTTTTGGTGCCTACTTTGTTGAATTATAAATTTCAGTTATCTAATTTAATAGTTGTATAGGAGAGACATAGTTTTGTGTCATATGGATAAAGAAATAAGTGGTGAAAAGGAAATATTTATGAGTTAGGAATTGCCTATATGGCATAGTTGTGTCATATGAGTAAATAAATAGGTGACATAAACAAGTGCATATTATATCGGAATCAAGTACTGACTAGACACTTTATTTGAACTTTTGCTAACTGATCCTATGTGAATTAGGCTTCACATTCTGGTGAGATTACATCCTTCAGCATCATAGGTTGTGATTAGTGAAACCTACTTTGGAAAGAGGTTAATATTATCATTATCTTAATAAAAAATAATAAATTAAGTTCACACTCTATTAGCTGCAAAGGCCAAATCTTAAGCTTAAGAATAGTATAGAATATTGTTTAATTTTTGGATTATTAAATTCCAATATTTCATTTTTCTGTTTGATTTAGTTCAGAATCATCTCTAACCAGTTTGTGTGTGTGTGTATATATGTATGTATATATATGTATATATGTTTACAACTCAATATCTAATTTCGTTATTAGTTTGTTCATACAGCTTTAGCTGTGATTATGAAGTTTTAACTTGAATTACAAGAAATGTGAAAAAGTGAATGATTAGTTGAGAATATTAGTCTTCTACTTGGATTATTGCTTTGATTAGTGAATAATATGTTATCAACCATTCATGTCATGCAGCTCCATGGTTCCTGGCTCAAGAAATCCGATATGGGGAGAGGAATTTAATTTTTTTGCTGATGTGCTTCCTGTTCAGGTTATTTTGGTTCCATTTTTCTTGAAGTTGTTATCTGGGCAAGCACCTGAAGAATAAATTAATGAACAATAGTTGGTATTTCTTAGTTCTTTTTACAAAGGCCTTCTCCCTTTTTGTCCTGATGCATTTTTTTGGTTGGCAACTCTAAGCACTTTGTAAAAGTATCTTCTGTCTCTTTATGCTGATTGTATTTTGTTGCAATTTACAATAAAGTAAAATTTTAAAACATATACAATTAACACTTAAATGACATTTCACAAGGAGGAATGGCCTAGTGATGGTGGTTATCTAAACAATGATCTAGCTGTCACACTAGATCGTTCTTAATTAGATGCATAACTATGAAATTTACGTTCGTATTGGAAATCAAAGCCAGATATATATGAACTAAACTGAAACCATATGTATATATCCTAGATCTGCATGAGTCTAGGCCATATATGCAAGGAAATTGGCAAGATCCAAAGAAATCTTGGTCGGATCTGTTCTTCTGCATCTTCAATTGAGTCACACTATACTTGCATAGATCTGGTTTGGAATAAGGTGAAAAGATTGTACTTAAGATGCTATCTTAAGCACAAAGCCATAATCAAGAAAAATTAACCAAATGAGCCAATATTGTTTTTGGATTTATGAATGTCTTTCTTCTCTTGAGTTTGATCTTTGATTTTATTAAGATTCAGGGGAGACTGGGATTTGAGAGACTGAGGGTGAATGGACGCGAAGTAGTGAAAGAGGGGAGCAGAAAGTGGCTGTTCGGGGGTTTCAAATTTGATATTGGGTCCGAAAATTGGGTGGTAGGTGCTACACAGTTTGTGTGTGTGTCATGGTCATATTTGATTGGTACACAAGAAACTGTGAGACTGCATGGCAAGTCCTTGCATGCCTTTGCTTTGCAATTAGAACTACCAGCTGCCGGGTGATGACCACAACTCACTTGAATCAGGCAACACGAAATCACCTGGTCTGCCTGCCGCTTCCTTGTCAGACTGGTAAATATTGAAATATCAAGTGGCATGGTCGATTTTTGAAATGTTGGTTTACGTGCTATTCACAATAGCTTAGAGAAACTTGGTCCTGCTTCAAATCCCAGAACAAGTACTATGTCAAATTGTCTTGAAATAAATTGATTAATTGAGCTAATTGATAGAGAAGTCAGTATGCACTGGTCATTCTGCTTTTATGGATATCCTCTATTCATCTAAGATTGATATGTAGATTGAATTTTGACTTTTTGTGTTAGTTTACTTTTGCACATCTGGTATATGATAGTCTGTTTATTAATAGGTTCTTAGGTTGTAACATTATGCTTTTATTCTCTTCTTATGTTCACTGTACTCCACATTGTTCTGTAATGTTAATATCTTTAAGGGTTTACAACTTTACATAAATGGGTACTGTTTCTTTCTTTAATATAATCAGCAGTCAAGATATCTGTTAAGTAAATGTCGTGTTTAACTGTATTTCTCAAAGGTGGGTCAGGTTGTCCTTCATCCTAGCTGAAAATGCCTAAAATAGTTAAAGGACCATTTCACTGATGTTCTTTCTATGACATTTCTGACATGAGGTCTGCTAGTGTGGTATTTCAGGTTGTTAAATTTGTATCATTTTACAATATGCACTTTTCAAATGGAAGAGTACATAAATTACCAACAGACTGGTCTTGCATGGTTGTGCCAATTTAAAAAACAAAAAGAAACAAGTTTTGAACTATGGACTTAAAATAAAAGCCTTAAGCCTTGCCCATAATAGCTTCGATTCCCTTTTGCAAATGCAAATATGACTTGGTATTCAGAGTAATTGCCTATTTGAATATATTCTTCAACATTCCTGCAGATTAATGTAACAATATATGACTGGGATATAATATGGAAAAGCACTGTTCTTGGATCTGTAACTGTTACTGTCGAAAAGGAAGGCCAAACTGGAGCAATCTGGCACACTCTAGATAGCACATCAGGACAGGTAACATTATAACTTTGTGATTACATTATAACTTTATAAATGCTCAATCATATGTTGAGGTATCAATAACTTAATTATTTTTTTTCCTAGGTCTGTCTTCATATTAAAACCACAAGGCTACCAGCAAGTTCTTCCAGGTTATTACTTGTTTCTGCTACTTGGCCTCATGGTTCTGATTTTCTTTTTAGATCACAATAATTTTGGAACATGAAAGTACCTAAGTTTAATATGTTGACATTTGATGGTGTATCTCTTTTGGCTTACTCTAGTTTGCATGCACTAACATTCTGACATCATGATATTGTGATGCTATTGGGTAAAAGTAAAAGCTCTTTTAAGTTTTACTGACAACTGATTGACATAAAATTATTTTCGTTTTACTTAAGTTTTAGTTCTTGCTTCATTCTTATGAATGGTTCATGTGTATGTGGTTGATGGATGATGTAGACAATATTTTTCAGTTCATTTTTTCTTGAATCAGGGTCCTACTCATTGACCTGTCCAAACATCATGTCACAACTAGGTGGAACTCTCATGGTGGCAACATGGTTCAGAAACTGACCATACCGGTTAGTATGGGTTGGTTTTTACTTTTTACAAGTAGGATTAATGATTGGTATGCAAACCAAGAAATTTTGTCCACTCCAGTTGGGCATAGTATTTAAATTTTAAAGACCAGTAGATTTAGCATTTGGGATGGGCCAGTTGAAATATGACTGATTCACATAGATGTACTAGGCAGTAAGCCTACCATCCAGCTTTAATATAAGTTTTTTTGGCTTTTTGACATTTTTCACTCATAGCCATCATCTTTTTCTTTTTTGCTCTCTCTCTCTCTCTCTCTCTCTCTCTCTCTCTCTCTCTCTCTCTCTCTCTACGCCATGTGCTCTCCGCTCTCTCTTTCTTTCCTGCTGAGCCTCATCCGACCCAGTACATCGTTGCCGCTGTCTCCTTCACCTCGTTGTGTTGTTGCCATCTCTTCTGCTCATATGCCTTATCCTCCTCCTTTGCCTTCTCTTTCTCCTCCTTGACCTCTTCTTCTTACTCCTCTCTCCCCATTTTCTCTCCTTCTTTCTCCCTCATCCGAGCAGTTATTGCCCCATATCGAGTTTCTATATGTCGATTTGTATCACTGGTTGAGCTGCCAACCGGTATTAGCATACCATTGAGATTTCAAATCTTGCATTGCAATTTGATCTCATAACCGTAGCTCTTAGGTGAATCTTAGTAATTGGTTGGAACTGAGATAGTGTACGAATAATTCTTGGATGCTAAGTACCTCATTGTGTCTTACATGGCATGATGAAATGCTGTCACATCTATGCCGAAGAAAAGGTTGGTTCTAGACTTCTAGTGCATGAGGCTTTCACCAAAGCAGGGTGGAAAGGGTTATTATATGCAGTCTTATCTTTGCAAATAAATATTCTGTTCACATGTTTTGAATGTTGGTCACTGATGTTGCAAAAGAACAAACTAACAATCATACCAAAGCTCATTCGTTCTGTCACATTCGTACTTCCACACAAGGAAAAGGAAGAAGAGGAGGAGAGTATCAGAGACTGGAGGGGCAAGCAAGGGAACAGAAAAATGGAAAAACTTACCTCAATCTTTCTGTCAATGTTTATGTTGTCAATGGTGGTCCCTGATACACCATTCAGTGGCTGTCTGTGGATGCTTTGCAAAGATCACCATGGAGGAATGTGATTTTCAAGCTGAAAGCTTCAAGAATTGCTAACCTGATCACATGTGTGTGTGTGTCTATATATGTATATGTATGTATGTATACACACAAATATGAATATGCAAAATTGCTCTTATTAAAGCTTGAATCAACTAGGTCATTATTTCATCCTACAAAAAACAAACAGAATCAAAGGTTAGATAGCAAACAAGGTTAGTTAGTACAACCCTGTTTTGAGTACCAATATGATGTATGCTGCAGTGTGCACTGATAAAACTTGAAATGACTGATCTTGGCCTACACGATGAGCTTACCAGTCATAGTCAATTGTTTTATGGCTTTTTACTAGACAATTATGTGCATCCAAAAGTTAGAAATTTCATGCTTACCTTCATGACTCGTAAATTTATAACTGTATGCTCATGAAAGGACATCCAAGTGCCTTAGTACTATTCTTTGTTTATTTTTTTTCAGGTTTTGAAATAGGGTAAATTCCTTTTAGCCGATGAAGTTTTGTACTATATTAATGTGAAAATTATACTGTATTATCTGTCAAATAATTGGTTCAGAGCATTGAATGGCTATGCTGGAGCTGATGCTCGAAGAAGATTGTCTTTGGATAAACAAGGTCCTACCTTAGTCCACCAGAAGCCAGGGCCTCTGCAGACCATATTTGATCTTCCACCTGATGAGGTTATCTATTATATTAATGTAATTCATTTCTTAGCATTGAAGGTTATTAACATGAGTCACCTGATGAATATTTTTTCTTTTGCTCAGGTTGCTGATCACAGTTATTCATGTGCGCTTGAAAGATCTTTTCTATACCATGGACGCATGTACGTGTCTGCATGGCACATTTGTTTCCACTCAAATGTATTTTCTAAGCAAATGAAGGTTAGCTTATCCACCTTAAAGATTTCTTTCACTCTTTGTTCTGTCCAAGCAGTGAATTCTATACTATCTATTTTAGGTTTCTTAGCTGGTATATAATCTTGAAAAGTTATCATTATCGTGGAAGAATGTCTGGCTGATCTTATATAGAATTTCTGATTAGTTGGTTAAGGAAATATTTATCTTCATCTATACCAATAATTTTGCCCATGAAGGATTTTTGTATCATTTAAAGCTCATATCACTAAATTTCTTAATCATGTGGAGTATTTTTGTTTGTTCAAGCTGAATTTGTTGTTGTTTACAGTGAAGTGGTGTTTGTCACATATCTTCAATTTGAACCATGCTACGTTTGTATATCAATCAGTTATTTCTTTGTCATTGGCTTTTCTCTGCTGCTAGTGAGCAATAATGGATTTTTAAATGCTATTATGAAATTTAGTTTTATTTTAATAAAAAAAATCCAAATAAGTGATAGCGGATTTATCTTTTTCGAACTTTGATGAGCAGCTTTGTGGCACGTTCCGAATGGTTCTTCTGGTGATATTGAACAAGAGTAAGAATTTGTGAGAAAGAAAGAGTGATTGAGTGAGCAAGAGTGTTAGAAGATGTGATATTGAAATAGGGCGAAAGAGGAGGGAGGAATGAGGTTAAGTAGGCATTCAAATGGGTCCAATGACTAAATTGACCGTTGGAACCTATTTAATCTAGGCCCTTGATTGATTTCGGTTGAAATCTGACCATTTCCGATCAGTCCGAGTCGGTAACTATCAAATTTCCCCATTTGGCCTGGTACGAAGAGTGTATCGCTTGATATGCCCCCCCAACTCCTATACCACCTGGTACAGGATGGTTTGCATTTCGGTCAATTGTAGGATCGGTATGTGCTGCTTGTACCATATCGTTTTGAGCAATACGTCAAACCATAGTCATTTCTTTTATATCTAGTAGCATCTTGATGTTCACTGTTAGTCAAGTTAATTTTGTTCTTGGCCCCATGTTTATATTTTCGTTTAGCAATAATGTTTCACTATGCATATTGTTGTACTAATTACTAGATAAAAATAAAAAATTTTCACTGAATTCTTCTAACAGTAGTATCACTGAGGATATTTGAAGGCTCATATGAATATATATTTTGTTTCAATTTTTTTTACATCCTAATTAACTAAAAGTAGTTTTTTCAAAATTTTTAGGTGGTTATTTCTTTTGGCGACATTGCTGAGGTATGTTGGTTATTTCCTATGTAGTTTGTACTATATTATTTTGTATGTACACATCCAATTGCCTTTGCTATTAGTAATGCAGATACGACGAAGCCAACATGCAGTTATTAACCCTGCTATCACAATAATTCTTCGAATGGGGGCTGGAGGACATGGTGTTCCTCCTCTAGGAAGTCCAGACGGTTAGTGGTACTCAATATTGTCTTCATTACTTTTTTTTTTTGCCATGAAGGTTTCGTTTCTCTAGCTTTTGATATATGTAGCATATTAGAAATACTTGAAGAACCATCACCTTGTACTTTTCTACTTTTTGAATGAATAAAAATTATTTTTCTACTCTATACTTTGTGTTGTTCTATATGAAGATACATATATATTCCAGGCTAACTTGTTGAGGGTCCAAAGCCTCATTTGATATATTTTGAAGGTATCAGTTAGTTTAGCATATATATATATATATATATATATATATATATATATATATATATATATATATATATATATATATATATATATATCAACAATTTTAGAAAGTGGGTCAGTGGAGTATCTACTGGGTGCAATGTATGTATATGCATGACACAAAGAATCCGGGAAAAATGCCATTCTCTATGTTCATTCTGTCTCATATTCATCCCCGTGCTCTCTGTTTTAGTTTTATTTTTGTTATTGGTGTGCATAATGTTGGTAAAAGCCCCTCTACTTTGTAATTAGTGTCATCAGAATCGTGAGTTGAGCCATAGGATTAGATGATCCTAGGTTTCAAATCTGATGCTATGGTTCAAATCCATTTGGACTAGTTGACTCGCATTAAGAAATGGATTTTGGCTGAATTGAATCTTGACTTGCAAGTTGACTTGGTAAGCTTGGTCAACTCATGTCAAACCGAGTCACCTAAGTCAGCTATATTGTTTTTAAGCCCTAAAGGCCTAAACGGCCTGAACTTTACTTGCCTGTCACATGCAACTATACTTGGTCAACTCTTTCTCGTGGCTTGGTTGTCTTCATATGTCTGAGCCTCCACAGCCTCCTGGCTGCTGCCTTTGTCTAATCTCCAACCAATGCTCAACTCTTGCCTCTATATCCAAGAACCAGCTACCGCATGACTGCATGCCGTCAGGATATTAGGTCTGTCCTCCCTCCTCTCTCTGCCCTCCTCTTCTTACTCACTATCTGGAACCACTATCGCTGCTCTCACCATTCGTCCCTCTTCTGCTCCTCATGCTCTCTCTTACTTCCTCTCGTCTTAAATCTCTTTTCAGTCTCATGTATGAATTACATGAGTTCTAAGAGCCATTTTAGAAAGTTGTTGTTTCTATGTAGTAGCAATTTAATTACAGAATCATAATTATGCAGTATTGATCTACATGAATATAACTACAGATAGAAATGAAAAACAAATCTATTTCAAATGTGTTTTTCTATTAGTTCACTAATTATTTATCTGATGTAAGAAAGGATATCATGCCATGATAGAACATATTAAAATACCTTCTTTGTTTGCCATCTCTTATATGCTATTAGATATTTGCTTTTGTTGTAGGTAGCTTCTGGAACATCCAGTTGCAACTTGTATGTGACAAATTTTTATAGCTTTTTAAGATCCAGTCTAAACTCTAAACTATTCTGCCATTATTCACTATGCAGGGAGAGTCAAATACATGTTTGCATCATTTTGGAACAGAAATCATACTTTAAGAGCTTTGCAACGTGCAGCTAAGAACTTTCATGCAGCTATAGAAGCTGAGAAGAAGGTACTTACCTTTCAACATGGCCCACTCATCTTTCACCCAAACTTATAGACCTGTCTTAGACCTAGCATTTTTTGTTGCTCATCAAACTGTAGCAAAAAATTCTTCATTTCACATTAATTAAATCAGGCTAACATGTCCTTGCAAATTAAGACCCAATAGATTTTGGCAGTGTTTTAAACTTGTTGGATGAAAGGTCTTTTTTTGGCAAGTTCACAAGAACTGAAACTGGGCCATTGTTTGAAACAACTAATAGAATTGAACTGGTTTATTTGGCACTGGCTTAGGACTGAACCATCTTAATACTATTATAAATGGAATCTCCAGTCCTGCATCACTTATTTAAATCAGTAGGGTTGCAATTGATATGGACCATTTCAGTATCCCCACAATATCTGGTATTTCTTTCACCATTTGAGGCTGATGTCCATTCCCCATGGCTTTTTCCTGCCAGGGGTTCCTGGAGGAGGAGAGGCATGGTGCAGAAGTACATTGCTTAAGTATGCTGTTCTTTATTTTTCCCTTTTTGCTGTTTGTCTTGTTGTATTATCGGTGAGCGCCTGTAGCACCCTCTATTCTGCCCACCCGTTATCATGGAACGCATGCCATCTGATTACAACTAAATACTCTTGAGATTGAACTTCCTGGTTCAAACTAATTGGTTTTATCCAGACATCATAATGGTGGTTTATGTACTACTTTCTTATGAAAGATATGCCTATTTGTCAATTCTGTAGCAGGAAATTTCTTTCATCTTTTCGGGCAGATGATTTCTTCTTATGTTTGTCTGTTCAAGCTGCAGTTTGCTCTAAGGGCTCTGTGCATTACTTTCTTGGAATTCTCTATCATTTAGTTCTGCATTTATTATTTGGATAGTTGGAAGCCAGAACTTGTAACATTTGATTTCTTTTACTTGGATACACAGGAATGGGCACAATCTGCATTGCGTGCACACAGCAGCTCTGTGAGAGGTAGCAGGAGACAGATAAAACTTCCAAACGAGAGTGTAGTTGAGACTGCAAAGTTTCAAGATTTCATAAAGGAGGAAGTTCTAGTTGGCATAGTCAATGTATCCATTGTACTTATTCTCTATTTTATGTTCTTTTATTTTAAAGATATAATAGTTTCTAATCTATTAACTGCTTTAATACAGGAAAATTTCCCATGCACTGCAGAGGAGTTCTTTTCTGTCTTATTGAATGATGACTCCATGTTTATTGCAGAATATCGTTCAGCACGGAAAGATACCAATCTGAATGTAAGGAAACTGTCATTCATTTATGATCATCTCTTGCACTGTGGTACTTGTTAGCTATTAGTTGTCAATGTACATTTATACTGGACGTATAAAAAGGCAAAGCTTAGTGCACAAGGCTCCCATCAAGAAGTGATCTGGGAAGGATCTATTTACAATGTTTTCTTGGTAATAATAATTTTCATGTAATGCTATGTGGTTGGATAACCAAGAAAACTGAAGGTGTCCATTGTGTCACTTTTTTTTTTTTTTTCTGTTCATTACTTCTGTTGTTAGTTGTTACTATGGCAGTGTCTTAAGTCCCCACTTTTTGGATGCCTTGACAGTATTTGGTTGAGTTCCATGTTAATGATATCTTCTGAAAATTATACTTATAATTCTGTCTCCTGCCTTGGATCAGCATTTGCAACCATGAAGCATTGTTGATCCATGAGGGATATTACTACTTGGAGTTGCTAGATATGATGATTTTGTCGTTATATATACACTTTAACTGAATGTTAAGACTGATATACACAGTAATTTCAGGTGCCTGTTTCTACAGAGCAGATCTAGATGTCTTGACAATGTTTTTTTTCCTGACATAATTCGGACATTTTACTTCTATGCTTTTTTCAGTTGGGCCAGTGGCATGTTGCTGATGAGTATGATGGTCAGGTCAGAGAAATAACCTTCAGGTCATTATGCCATAGTCCCATGTGTCCTCCAGACACGGCCATGACAGAGTGGCAGCATGCTGTTCTTTCCCCTGATAAGAAAACTCTGGTGTGTGTTTCACTCCAAAGTAAATGTGGTAGAATATTAATTTTTCTTTTGGCATTAACTTCATATGTTTTATTGTCCCTCATTATCATTTTTTCATGTGAACCTTTTCTTACCAATGTGAACTCTTTTTAATTTCAGTGTTTTCTTTGTTTAGGTCTTCGAGACTGTGCAACAGGCACATGATGTTCCATTTGGTTCTACCTTCGAGGTGCGTACTGAAACTCAGCTACTTCCCATGCAACATAATATGTGCTTAGAGGACAAAGATAGTCTTTCTTTAGTGAACTGATAATTATAGTTTTTGTGATCGCTAATGAGGAAACCTGTATGCGCAACATGCAAATGTTTGTGATATGTGACTTCTGAAAGTTAATTCTTATTTAATTTTATGCAATCTGTGGAGACAACAGTTAAATTAGAAATAATTTTGTTCAGTTAACTAAACATGCAGAGGTATTCTGTTGGTATCTCTAGGGCAGGAAGTTAAGGCTTCATTTAGCATACCCATATCTTATAAAACAACTTTTTTTCCTTAAGGTATAAATTATTATGTTAAATATGGCCTCTAGTCACAAGGTGTAACAAAAAATAGTTAATATTATGGTTTAGAATGGTCAGGTTTGTCATGGAAGATCTATATATACGTTTGTTCTTGTACAGGATAATTTAGTTGGAAGTTAAAAAGAGTCAACTATGTAGCTTTCATGGATACATTAAAATTTATATTTCTTAGCTTTGTACCAAAATTAATGATAATCTTGATTGAGCTAAAACTGGCATCAAATTCTTGATGAGGTTTGGATTGGAAGGTTCATTTTCTGAGCAAAATGTATCGGAGAGGATTCTCTTATTAACTGAATTTACTTACTTTATTGGTTTGGTCGATGTGTGCAATCTTTGAACTTGGCTTGTCTAATACAATTACATCTGATTGCTAAATCTCATTAACTTTAATTGAAAGAGCTATATTTTTTGAGAATGTAAGTCATATAATTGTTTCTATTTCAGGTACACTGTCGGTGGTCATTGAATACGATCTCTGACTCTTCGAGCATGCTTGATATACGAGTTGGTAAGTATTAGCTGGTGTCTATCATTTTTCTGATTTCTTTTCGCCTTCTTTTATTGCTATTTTGCTTCATGTGAGGCCACAAATTATGAGGAAAAAGTAATTATAGATATTTTCTACAGGTGCACATTTCAAGAAGTGGTGCATCATGCAGTCTAAGATAAAAACTGGAGCAGTTGATGAGGCATGTTTTCTCATTACGATTTCTAGTTCCGCTTTTCTTCATTGTGTTCTAGAATTATCTTAGATTTGATATTTTGAACTAAAACTAACTGCTTGTGCCCAACACTGTGTCCTGGTTCAAAGTTGCAAGCATGTGCGATGGTAAACACAGAGAATAAGACAAAGTGAAAGAGAGCATAGATCAAACCTTACTGGTCATGATTCAAATCATAACCTCATCTGTAATGTCATGATACACCTCAAATCATAAATCAAGACCCTTATCTTTAGGTATCGAGTTCTGATTTACAGAATTTCTAGATAAAAAATGCAAAATAAAATTAAATTAAACATCAAATCAACTCATAAAGTTATGACATCCTAATGACTCCGAATCAACCTAATTAAATTACCATCTCAAAGTCTTATTAAAGTTAGCTAGAATAGTCCCCTGAAGGGTCATTTGGACCCAAATCTTATAAATTAGCTCAGATTTACCTGATCGAACTTAACAATACTTGAATATAAGATTGCCTGATGTAATGTGCGGTATATGCATGCTAATCTGTCAGTAGTCTGCAGTTCTATTCACACAGTCTGCCATTAATTTGAAACTACTTTAACTTTCACATAAATGGCTATCATGTATAGCCTACGCTATGGGCCACTCTGGGAACAGGTACCTTTCTGTCCAGTCTTGCAATTTTTAATCTCCAATGTCCTTTTATTTTGGATCAATTATATCAGTTCTCCAATCATTTCTTTTAGATGTCTAGGCTACCTGCTTATTGTCGACATATATTTTTGGCACAAGTTCTTCGAGTAGGGTTGTTAGAAACGATTTCAAAATTTTTCGAGTGGTACCACATTGATCAGAAAATAATACAAAGTTTCTTTTATAGTTGTGATGTGTTCTGTTTTGCTACATGAAAGAGTGGATTGTTTTATTTCTTAGGTTTATTCCATAGCTTATCTTTGCTGGACAACTTGGTGCAACTATATAAAGCAAGACCACATATTGAAATCAGTGTTTTCCTTTTATTTTGACGTAATCTTTCTTCATACAGTACAAGAAAGAAGTGGCGCAAATGCTAGAAATAGCACGCTCATATCTTGTCAAGGTCAAAGGTTCCAGCCAAGATAAGCGTGAGGCATCAGAAACTCCAACATCCGCCGTCAGTTGAGATCAATACATCAGATGGCAGGTTTGCCTACTCTTAGTAACCCTATACTCGATGAAGTTGCCAGTCTCTCGAAGTCGTCGTAACTGTATCATGCACGGAAGTATAAGCTTGTTTTTCATGCGATCCTTCATGCAAGTGAAAAAGTGGTGTATGCTTATACCTGCACGAACTTTCTTCTGTATAATGCCAATTTATCATAAACGTAGATCACTTTTTTCTTTTTTTGATTCCTCCTTCCCAAGTGTGATCTCCACCACCAGCAGTTTTTGCAAAAATGTGTCCAATTACTTTATCGTGTCACTGTGGGCATTGTTTGCCGTAGATGACACACTTCTTAATAGGTTTTAAATTACAGTAATTGATAGAGCAAATTTAGGAATTTGATTGTAAATCCGCACAGTTCTTGAGCGGTTAGATGCTGCCATCAATTGTTTTTCTTTGTTGACAGAAAGAAACAGCTTGTTACCATGATGGCTTATATGGTTTGTTCATCCTTATGCTATCATCAAGTGTTTAGATTTATCTCCTGGTTGCTGTCTGGTTGTTTTAACATGGTTTGCATGAAATTTCTTCTCTGATTTAAAGTCCATCAGATACAATCGTCCGTTTATGCCGGTTATCATGTCGAACAGCTTACTTAATATTCCCTTTGATATATTATCCACAAAGAGAAAAAGAAAATAATATAAATTCTTGTAGCATGATCTTGTTTTGACGGAGGAAATGAGCTCCTTGAATGAAATTTGACCAATCAGTGGTCTACCCTTTTAAGGTGGTTAACTATGTCTTTTTTCTCTAAAAGAATCAACTTAAACCAACTGATATATATATATATATATATATATAATGTAGGCAGGCAGTAATCATTATCGACATAAACCTAACCCGATCAATCCCGAGTGTATTGGCTCCGGTTCAACCTTTTCCATGATTCAATTAGGACCAAGATCAAACCTGAGTCGGACCCGACCGAACCGTATTGCCGCTCCCGATCCTTAGGAACTTAAACCGATGGATTCGGATTCGGATTCGGATTCGGATTCGGTCCGTTGTAGCGGTCGAAAGTTTGAAGGGCATCCATGTAAATAACTCCATTGAGAAAATTAGGGTTGTTCGTCGCCATATATTAGCCGACGCTGCTTCCCCCAACGTTCTAGGGTTTTTGGTGAACGGGTGAGAGGTGGAGAGACGACCGTTTTTCCCTCTGATCATTATATCGAGATGGTACTTCTTCTAATACCTTTAGTTCCAGTTTTACAGTACTGATAGTCACGATCTGTCGGATTAATGAATCATTGTAGTTTTTTTGTTGATTCATCCCGTAAATTTGACGTCTCGTGCGATTCTTCTGATACACTGTATTCCTTCCCGTTCGATTGTTCTTTGTGCATTTGGCTTTGAAGTCTCATTTGTTATAAAGATCTAAGTTTGGTCGTTTTGAGTTCATCTGAAGTCATCCTTCTTCTGTTTGGTTGTGGTTTGGTCCTTCTTCCCGATCGCTTTAAGTTGTGCTAATTGTTAATTAATTTTAAGCTCAAACCGTAATTTTTGTTTTCGGGTGTTCACAGCCGAAGCAGATTCATGAGATTAAGGATTTCCTCCTCACAGCGCGGAGGAAAGATGCGCGTTCCGTGAAAATAAAGAGGAGCAAGGATGTTGTCAAATTCAAGGTCCGATGCGCCAAGTACCTCTATACGTTGTGTGTGTTTGACTCCGAGAAGGCAAACAAGTTGAAGCAATCGCTTCCTCCGGGTATGTGGTAGTGTATTCATTGTTCATGTTAAGTTTTTGTTTGTGTCATTCTTTTATGAGATTGTGGAATTGTCATTTACATCTAAGTACACAGTTCAGCACGGCAGAAGCAGACAAATGCTCAAAGAGCATATGAAATTTCTATTTGCCGAATGGATGCATGTATATGCATCAGAATTTTATATCTTTATGTCTTTTTAGTATCATTTATATGTGGACCAAATTTCATCTACTACAAAGTCTGTTTGCCATGCAAATAATTTACATGAATCAGGTATCAAATTACAAAATTATCTTTCCTAGTAGCATGTGTGGGCACAATTTTGTTTTGTGAAGGTGGTTTCTATATAATATTAAACTGCAACAAGCATAAGCTGCATCTTTTGTTAGCTATTGACACAGACACTTGAACAAGCCATTATTTTGGTCTATTGGGGTTGGACTAAATGAGTTCATTCTTGCCATTGATCACTGTTGAGGAAAATACTATTAAAAAATCTGTCATTAAATCCCTATTGGTCCCAACTGAGTGAGTCATCATCATTCCTCCGGAAACATGTAATCACATTTATACACACATTTATACATCTTCCTGTACATGTGCAAATTATTTTACTGGATTATACATATTTGTCCTCAATGTTACTACCACTAATATCCCACCAACATAATCATATTTCTAGCAACATGAAAAATCCCTCTACTATTGAATTGAATTTTTTATGCAATTGAACAATATATGCTTTGTTTTAGTTGATATGAAGAATTATCATGGATAGGTGAAAATATGTTATTTATGTCTTTGAAAGGGCATTTTATGTAATTTTCCTAATTGATAGGCTTAATTGAAGTTTGATACTGGTTGGCACCTTATGTCTAACCATATCTGGAGCTTCATTAAGATATCTACCTGAAGTATTAAAATCTCAGTATGGTAACAATATCTACCGACAGCTGGACGGGTATGGTACCCATGCCAATCATCATATCATCACCCATCTCTTGTTATTGTTTCGCTTCCTGCAGCAAGCTCGGTGTTTTTATTGGACCAGGTTAAATTGTTTACTTCATGTACTGGTCCATGGTTGGACCAAAAAAATACCCAGCCCTGTTGACTGTTATGATCAAAATTAAAATCTGTGATCTACACTGTCATGCTATGCTTGTTCAGATTTTATGAAGATCTTTAACCAGCTAACTGTTGGTATGACTAGGGGCATGACTGCTTTCACCTCTTAGAGGTATTTAAAAAATGCTATTAGCAAGCACTGTAAATAGTTAGCTGTTTGTAGAACAGTAATCTTTATTGGATGGGATGGATGTCCAGAAGCTAGAAAGATCTGAAAATGTCTACCTAAGGTTTGTGACCAAAGAGTTGTATAAATGCACCCTTTGATATAAGGATTGAGAGTCTTTGGTTGTGGACTTTAGGCAAATATTATTATCAACCAGCTGTATCTCAAAAAAAAAAGCTTAGAAGTGTTGACTTCTGGCATCAAATTTTTAAAAATATATACAAGTTATGATTGCCTCATATTGCTTTATGGTTTTGTCTAAGAAGCTGTAGGGTGTAAAAAATGTGGAAAGAAAATGAAACAGATATATATATATATATATATATAGAGAGAGAGAGAGAGAGAGAGAGAGAGAGATGGTTGATTTTGTTTCTAGTTTATTTTATTACCTAATGTATCAGAAAACTGTAGGGTCCATATCTCACAGCTCTTTGAAAAATGTTATGGATGTGATAATTGTTCAAATATTTGTTCAAGTAAGAAATCCTCTTGAGAAGTAATAAGTTGAGTGCATATATTGATTTGTCATGTGTAATGTTGCAGGTCTGAGCATCCAAGAAGTTTGAGATTGAAGCTTCAGCTTGTTAGTGAGGTTTCTGATCAGTGGCTGAATTCATTCCTCTTGTTTTCCCAATTATGACTTCAGTTCTATATATCAACTATTATCTACTCTGAATGTTTGAGGAATGCTGGTAGTAAATGAGTTTTGATATTGGTATGAGATCCTAATTATATCATTTGCTCCAATTTATTGCCTATATTTCAGTATTTGCATGCTGCATATTATAATCATTACTAGAAGTTGGTTTGATGAATCTTTTGTTCTGTGGTTTTATTCCAAAAGTGTAGGATTCTGTTGTTCTGTCAGGAATCTTGTGTTGTGATTTGACCACCAAAACATGGGAATAGTTTATGTCAGACTGGACAAAATGTAATTCCAATCTGGAAAGTCTGGTTTTATTTTAATATATTTGGCTTTAGTCCATCCATTGATTTATTTGTCTTGTTTTGGGTTGGTTAATCAGTTTGTAGTATTGAGTCCATCAATCAATTGGGTCGGGTGCAGTCATATGTCACAGGGGCTTGGTCTTTAGATAAATTAGAGTAAATTTCGCTTTAACAAGTAAACAATCCCTTTCTTTACATTTTTCTCTCTTCCTCTCTCTCATCTTTTTAAGATGGTTGCATTTTGGTGATCTTTATTGGTTTATCCAAGATTTGGGGACTTCAGATTGATGCCTAATTACTGTAGTAGTAACAACAACTGTAATTAAAGGTGACATTTCTTATGAACAATGAAGGGATGTGTTTTTCCTTCCTTCTGAGATTAATTTAAATAAAGAATACTTGTTAAATCATTAACTTAGAAGTTCAATTAGTCTGTGATCTATTAGGTTGCCAATCTGGGTTAATACTTGATCCACATATTCCACCCCCACCTCTTTGATCCATATTTTTGGCATCTTATTACAAATTTATATGACTAGCTCTAATCTCATCTTAAGCTTTTAATTAGGTAGACATTTCCTTGATCTTAAGCTTTGAGCTGTCTTCAATCATGTGAAGTGGTATGACAGTGAAGCAGCTCACTGCTTAATGATATCTAATACCATGTTTATAATAGAAGTAGAAAGAAAAGGAAAGATATGATCTTATGAGTAAGATAATTTTCGAGATTAAGAGTTTCAGTGCATCAGATCACAGTCAATATGAGGTTTAATAGAGATCAATAATATCCCACATTATTGTGGAATATATATGGTTGGTAATTATGGAAGGATTGAAATTATATTTTTCCAAGCATTTTCATCTCTTCACTCTCAAAATGATTGGGCTACTGTCTGAAGTCTAATCTTCACCAATATAATCAATTCTTTATTTGGGGAATTTTCTTTTCTGTTTGGTCAAGAATAGGATGAAGTACATATGAAGAGTGCTTAGGATGAGTAAGAGAACATATTAGAAGAAAGTTCTGACCAAGTGTGGTTTCCCTCACATGTGAGGTGGGTCCATTCCTTTAGATGAGGCAGTTGTCACTCCTATTAGAGCATGTCCATTTAGCAGACAGGGAATGGCCAAAGGCAGGATAGAAAGATAGAATGACTGCAACATCTGCCCCCAGTCACACAAATTTGGATAGAAAGATAGAGAGAGAGAGAGAGAGAGAGAGAGAGAGAGAGAGAGAGAGAGCTTTGTTCAGCAGCCTTTTTACACTACTGCCTTCCAAAGGCTTTTTTCCCCCCCTCTCTCTCTCATGCTTGTTGTCTATTGGAACACATTATTAGGAATCACCCTTTTGGTGTATGGCTTTTTAGTGCTTTGTGCAGCTTGTGATTAACCTTTTGTGTCATCTACATTTAGTAGGGAATGTTGTCTGACAAAACTCTCATTTCTTTGTTCTCAGGCAATAATACATCATACCTTATCTAAACATCTGAATCTCATTATTAGGGTTTAGGGTTGATTTTTATATTACTTGTACAAGAAAGGTATTAAATAAAATAAAATACCTCAATAAACAATAATCTTCATGGCATATGGTGCAGTGTATCTCTTGTACCAGATCTATGAAAAAAGAAAATAATAAAAACAATGTTTACCCTAACAAAAACAAAAAAGCAAAAACACATGCAAGAGAATCCAGTGAGAATAAGATGCATGCCAGTTGTGTCCAATGGCAAAGTCCAATGCATGCACATTCCAACTCACAGCAGTATAATTCTGATCATAGAGGAGATCCCGTCACTCTCTGGTACACTGACCCCTCCCGTCTCGCCCCGCACAGGTTCAGCCGCATGGGGTTCCCGTCGCAAGGTATTCTCACCGCCACCAAGCTGGCGGTCATTTCTTGCTGGCATCGGCTGCTGCCGACATCGCATTGCATTCCAACCCCTCCCTCACACAGTGAGCTACCATTGCATCGCATTGCATTGCATCATTAAATAATGCCACACCAATCATTATCAAATTAAATAAAAGGAACTCACTCACAAGAAAATGTGTATTTTCTCTCTCTTCTCCCTAGAAATGTTTAAGCTTATAAATAATAATAATAATAATAATAATAATAATAAATATCTGATATGGATGTCTAGTAAACCTTACGTGTCGACACTTAATCACATTCAATATAATACTTTCTTAGCACATAATGTTTATAATATCACTGAACTATTCAGGTAGGTCTTCATATTCGAATAATATCTTATGATTCAATGTAACTATCCACGATGAAATAATTATATATTACATTCATAAAGGGCCCCAAATCATCCATCCGAAATTTTTTTTTGGCAAAAACTCTAAATACAAATTGTTATTTTTTTGAACTAATTGCATCCTTAGTTGATCATCAAAATGCAATATCCCCCCAATTTTATCATTGTGACCAAGAAGATAATGGATTAGGTTCGCAAGTTTGTCATATAATATTATAAAAAAATCTCATCAAAATCTTTATCAATGATATTAGAGTCGATCATGCATCTATCTCATGCTATTTTATTTGATATTTCATCATATTTATAGAATATTTTTCTTTGGGTAAAATTTTTTATGTCAAACATAAATCAGCTTTTACATGAGAGATGTTAGAATACATAAATATGTTGTATCATTTCTTAATAATTTAAACTTTTGAGATTCATTATAATCCAATCAAATTTTTTATTAAAGAAAAAAGTATATTGGATTTTGGGATAAAAATCTCAGGTAAAATAACAAAATCCATTTTGTGATTTTGGTGACTTGGCACATCAGATAGCTACACTGATCCTTTCTCTACAACTTATTCCACAAATAATTAATCCTAAAACAAATTCAAAAACCCCTTTTGTTTTCCTTTTTCTCTTCCTTCCTCACCACCTTCTTGTTTTGTCTGTCTGTTATGTCATTGGCATGAGTGAGAAGAGAAGGCTCCCAAGCTGATATCTCAACCAATGTGATGGAGTGACACTTCATCCACCTCTCATTCCACAAATAATTATCTTAAATAAAATTCAGAAAAAAATCCAATATTTCTTCTTCTTCTTCTTCTTCTTCTCTCTCTCTCTCTGTCCTCTTTTAACTTGTAATTAATGTGCAAGCAGCTTTTCCTTGGAATGGGAGAGCACAAGGAATCAGTTCCAGAAAACCTTTGAGTTGTGTCAGCCTTCTGTTACTGCTCTGCCCATCAATCACTGCTCCCCATATACAGAGACAGACAGACAGAGAGAGAGAGAGAGAGAGAGAGGGGCCAATTAACTCTCTTCAAGGCAGGTTGGGTTGTGTGTCCGAGGCACTGCTTGACCCCTGTTGTTCTCGTTTCCTCATTCGGGCATGTGATCGATTGCAGATTAGCTTCTTCGCAGTACGAGAGCGCAGTGATCCACCCCAAAAGATCCTTCCTTTGGTCGTATCACGCCACGGGGAATAAGATCGATTTATGCTATCTTCCCCCTTTGAGCCACTGTGTCCCACGGGATTCGTGTTGTGAATCTTTAGGTTCTTTTCCACCCATCAAGCTCCGGGACAGCAGGTTGATCGGTTCCTCCACGAGAAGATTGCGGAAAGGAATCGCCTTCTTTGGTCCGTCTCCGGCTCCTCGGCTCCCGTCGTGCGAGCTTTCCTCCCGAGTTCGTACAAAGGTTGGTTTTTGTTTGGGGGCGGCGGCCTTTTTTCTCCTCGGATTGGTGAAATGAAAGAAAAGAGTTTCTTTTTCTTTGTTGATTGATTGCATGGGTTTTCGTCCTTGAGATCTGCAAAGTCCGTTTCTTTCTTTCTCCTTTGTTGTTGGATTTGGGATAAAAGATGTCGAACTTGTTGAAAGATTGCATCTTTTCCTTGAGCAAGAACTTACAACTGAGTTGTTGATCCAATGGAAATGGTTTCTGATTCCAGATTGGGTGTTTTCTTTTTGGATCTCAAGAGCCAGCTTGTGCTATTTCATCTAAATTGATTTCTTCCTTTTCTTTCACCATCGCCTCAGTTTGATGTCTTCTTTCCCTTCGTTGTATTGCCTCTTTCCAGTGCGTGAACGAGTATGCTTTTCGGGCGCTTCTCTTCACCTTGCTACTGAAGTCTCTGGTGTTCAATGCCTCAACTCCCCGCATATTGCTCTCTTTAGACTGTAGCTATCTGCTTTCACTGGAAGCCTGCATTATTCAGTTCATGGATTGGAATGTCTGGATTTACTTTCTGATTAATGGCATGAAGAAAGTTGTGATCTCTGAGTTTTGTGTCTGCAAAACAAAGGGTGTTTGCTCACTCTCTTTTCCATAGAAACAGTAATACTTACTGATAACCTTATTATGTAACTGCAAGATGTGTTATTTCCATAGTGTGAAATGCCACTTTCAACATTTCAATCTTTGGTGATCTGCATTCCAAATTAGGTTCATTGAGTCTTTCTTGTACATCAGTGCTTGTTGTGACTAATGAGTTCTCCCCAATGTCTTCTGCTTCTCTCCATTTCTCTCTTGCAAGTTTCATTTCTCTCCACCCAAACAGGTCAGAAATCCCTACATACTGATAAAGATTGGTAACAAGTCATGAGTTCCATCACTTTCATAACTCAGATCCAGAATATTCAGAATAGTATCCCACGTTAAGGCCAAAAGACTAGTTAATACAATGTGCATTGTTTCTATAAGCAAAATTTGAAATTTCTCTACTTTCTTGCAGAGTAATGTGCTTTTGGATTGCGGCAAATGGCTTCACTGGTCCCAGGTGTGCTCATCAAGCTCCTCCAGCACATGAATACTGATGTTAAGGTTGCAGGAGAGCATCGGTCATCCCTCCTCCAGGTTGCGAGTATTGTTCCTGCCCTTGCTGGAAGTGATCTCTTCACCAACAAAGGCTTTTATCTTAAGGTCTCTGATTCTTCCCATGCAACATATGTTTACCTGTCCGATGAGCACAATGACCTTATCTTGAGTGATAAGATACAGCTAGGCCAATTCATTCATGTCGATCGCCTCGAGGCAGGCTCTCCTGTGCCGATTCTTAAGGGTGTGAGGCCACTTCCTGGTCGTCATCAATGTGTTGGGAATCCCGAGGATCTCGTCGCCACCAGTTCTCTTAATTTCCTTAATGCTGAGAAACCGAAGCCATCCAATGACTCAAAGTATAACAGTAGCACATCTTCTGAAAGCGAAAAGAGCAAATTGGGGATTTCCAAGTCAAACATTAAAGCCCCAGAGGTGGAAAAGAAAAAGTCTTCACTTACCAAGTCAAGCTCTGTACTCTCAAACCAACTGGTCAAAGGCAAATCGGAGAAGAAATTTGCAGTCACTGCAAGGTCAAAATCAATGATCTCAAGAACAATACCTTCATCTCCAACAAGTGTCTATTCTTTGCCTGGATCATTTGAGAAGTTCTCCAATGAAGTCAAGAAGCATGCACGAGCCAAAGGTCTAGAGAAGCCAGCAACTTCAAGAATGGGTCTGGAGAAGGCAGCTTCTGTCTTGAAAGTGACCACTGCTGGTAGGAAGTCTTCTACGGGGAACTTCTTGGGAAATTTGGTGCCGAGCATTGAGTTAGGACCCAAAGCTTTGAGAAAGAGCTGGGAGGGGCATATGGAATCCAAGGGCAGAGATAGTTCTACCTTAAAAGCAGCCAAACTTGAGAGAAGATCTGAATCTAGGAGCACTTCTGTGAGTTTATTTTCTGAATTGATCATAATTCATATCTCTATATATTTTTGTCAGTTGTTATTGATCTCCAGTATATTGTGGGTTTGCTAAAGCCTGTTGCCATATCTGTTTTCTTGCATCTTTTATAGTAGAAATAAACATGTAAGAAGCTACTTTTATGAGGAAAAAGATTCTGATGTTTTGATTGTCATAATCTCTCTGCTTACGTTGAAGTCCCACCGGTGGAAACTTTGTCTATTAATTAACTGGTATCATCTGCATCTCCATAGAACATAAGTGGATTTCTCGTGTGTAACTTTTGGGTTGCACAGTAAAATGATGAAGCCAATCTTGCAGATATTATTTTAGATAAGAATGGCAATCGATGTTTATAGAGTTCCAAGATATGATCACCAATCTGTGTACCATTACATCATCCAAAACATAAGAGCCGATGGAAGTTAGTTATACTTATTTTCTGGATATTTGTAGTGGATAGTATTTTCCTTGGGTCCCTTGCATTTGTTTATTGTTTTCTAACTTGCAGGCTCCTCGACAAAAGTCATCAACAAATGAGAAACTGTTACCTAAGGATGACAGCAAGATTCAAACTCCTGTGAAGAAAGGCATTGTTAGTGCTGCTGCAGAAGATTCTGATAAAACTGTTAAACATCGGCCTCCTGTCTTAAGGAAATCTTCAGAGACCACTAATGGTCTAAATCTTGTTAACTTAGTCAAAGTTGTTCCTTCTAACAGAAAATGGACAGATGGTAGTGTTTCTTGGCAAACTCTTCCATCATCTTTGGCAAAACTAGGAAAGGTATGTTTCGTGCTAATATTATTTGATATGACAAACTTAGTTGCTTCTATTATTACTCGATCTGACAAAATTAGATTCCTTATATTAGTGGTTGTTACATGTTCCCTAATTTGTATGTCTTCTTTAAAATCCCTTTTCTGTCTTTATTGATGTATAAAACAAGTTATCAGCTATATTGTTGGCTGTTTCAAACTGAACTTATTACTTTATATTTTGGAAAGGGCTATTCTAGCCATAAACAAAAATTGTCCATCTTATGTGAAGTTATGATCAGGCTTTCACATATGTTACCCACCCGAGTGTCACTTAGGCACTACTTATGTGCCAGGAGGCCAACTTATCAACCATCCCCTCTGGGCAACCATGTCCAGATAATTTTAGGAATAAAAGAATCTCAGTTAGGGCTTACAAATAATTTGTAATTTTTAGGAGCTTTTGAAGTATAGGGATGCCGCACAACTGGCTGCTATTGAGGCTATTCAAGAAGCCGGTGCTGCAGAGAGCTTGATTCGGTGCCTGAGGTAATTACCCTCAAATGTTGTTGTGATTTTTATTATAGAGACTATATTTTGGCCATCAAGATCTCTGTTTATCATAAAGATATTTTGTTATATGTTATGTAGAGTTGCTGCTTGTATATTCTTTTTTTCAGTATGATATAGTTTTGTATTTAGAAAATATGCTTTATATTTTTATCTTAAATTGTGGCATATGTGCATTTAACATGAATTTGTGACAGAATGCTTCCCATTGTATTTTAGAATAATTATTGATGAATTTCTCACATGATAATATTGTTTTGATGAACTGTACCATGAGAAGTTTCTTGATCATCGGGAGATTAAAATATTAACTGCTTCATAAGCTTTTCCATGAAAACTACTCAAGCAAATGTTACAGTAACAAGTCATTAACTGCTTTTTGTTAACATTGTACGGTTTCTTTTAGTTTCATTTACTATCAGGTTTGCTGATCAACCATCTTGAAATGGTAATTTCACTCATTACATTTACGGTCAATTGTGAGGTTCTTTGGGTTTTCTTAGTTTCAGATTGACATTAGCTTATTGGTGATCATATTTGTTAGATCTGTATGTATAATCTTCACGTGAAGATTTAGAAGCTACTCTGTAAAATTCTCTGTTTTTTTCTCTCTCCTGTTATCAGTGCTATGCTTAACACTGATTCAAGTCTGACATCGTTAGGACTGAAAAGCTATGATTTGTGTCTAAATGCAAATAAATGTGCAAGATTGCTAAATTGTGTTAGCGTGAAAGGATATTGAACACTTAGTAGGCTGAATTTTCCCTTTTTTATCATTTATATTATCATCGGTAGGGAAACTTCCTAGGCATCGTGCCGTTGGTTTCTGTGGGTTTAGCTTTATATACATCGTGGGAAAGAGTGACAGGTTTTATAGTAAGATTTCCCTTGAACATGTTGTGAGAACAGATATAGCGATGTCAATGGAGGTATGCTTTGACAATGAAATCATGTTGACGCCCGAGTTAAACCTGCTAGGCTCTGGCAGAATCCCAATCTTGATTACTCTCATTCTTAGATACTGAAGAATTAATACAACCTAAAAGTTTGTGCACTTCCATGAATTTGAGAAGGGGACCTTGAGATGATTTCACAAACAATTTGTCATAACCATTATGAGAGAGCAAATCATTCTTCTTAGGATTTTAAATAAAAGAAAAAAAAGAAGAAGCTTTGAGTGCAAAGATAGTGTCCAACATTCTAAACTTGTCACTAAGGAACTATTGTTCATAGAGTTTCATATTAGCAGTTAGTTTACTCTCCTGCAGTAAATCGGTAGATAATCATATACCTACTGGTTTGGAAGATTGTGCATTATACATAAATATATATGCAGCAAACAATTCGATGGAGGAGTATACTAAGCATCATTTCTCAAAGTTATCAAGATTCCCTAGATCTTGGCCAAGGATGCCTCCTCAGGCATACCAAATGGCCTTTTGGCAATCTAGATCTGCTCTAAGTTGAGCCCCAGCTGTGTAGGTGATCTCATTTACTGATCTTGGAGAAACCAGCTGTTGCATGGTGACTTGGAGGTCTTTCTAGTCCTGTTTGAGTTTTAGGAATCCATTCTATGTGAAACTTGGGACTGGATTTTTAGACAACTCATATCTTTGGTTACAGTTTCGATCTTTAATTATAATTCAATTGCTCTCATAATTTTTCTGCTGATATCCTTCTGCATGTAAACTATATGTACTAGCTGAAGAACTAAATGCATCATTAGTAAGGCAAGCGAGATGGTTCAGAAGATAGAGAAAGCAAGTAAGATTATATTAGAATGACAAGTGTAGATAGATATACTTCATCTCAAAAGCTCCATAGCAACAACTGACTTCTTGTTCTTGCAATGTAAATCTATGCATTGTGGATATGTAGTTTCTTCTTCTGTGTCAGACAAGTAGTTGCTGATCGTAAGATTTGCCATAGATTGATGTGCTTGTCATCTTCCAACTGCTGTTTCTTCTCTCTCTCCTCCCCTCGGAGTGCAAGAGATGATCTTTGTGGTGTGCTGCCATCAACATACTCCATTGATTGCTTGTTTCTTTGTTCCACTCACAGTATGTATGCGGAGCTGAGTGCCACTGCTAAGGAAGACAACCCGCAGCCGGCCGTCGAGCAGTTCCTTGCCTTCCACTCCTCCCTCTCCCGTGCTGCCATGGTCACCGACTCCCTCTCCAAGACTATGTCCCAAACTCCGGCAGTAGCCTCACCGGACGCACCCCCAGGCGTTGACGCCATCCCGGAAGATGCCCTCAAAGTCTCCACCGGCAACCGCCGCCGTGCCGCCTCCTGGGTCAGCGCCGCCCTCGCCACCGACCTCTCCCACTTCTCCCTCTACAACCATAAGTCCTCCACCGCCTCCTCGGCCTCTCCGGCGGTGGTGGTGCTCGAGGGTCCATCTAAGACCGCAGCTGCAGCAGCGTCTCCCGCGAAGGCCTCCCCTCAGTCTAAACCCAGGCCGTCCCCGGCGTTGGCGTCGGCGACCAAGGGGAAGGCGCGGGGGACTGCGCCACCGTCGCCGCCGCCGCTGGAGTGGGATCGCGGGGCAGGGCTGGAGGAGGGGGCGGAGCTGGCACGGGCGCTGAGGGAGGATGCGCGGGCATGGTTCCTGGAGTTCGTGGAGCGGTTCCTAGATGCCGACGCGGCCGCGCCGGTGCCGTCTGACCGGGAGCAGGTGGCCGCAATGCTGTCGCAGCTAAAGAAGGTGAACGATTGGCTAGAGGCGATCGGCAGCCAGCGGAGGGAAGGGGAGACCGAGCCGGAGGCGGAAGCGGGGGAAACAGAGGGTGGCGAGGGTCCCAGCAGCGGCGTGCCGGTGGAGACCATCCAGCGGCTGCGGAAGAAGATCTACGAGTACCTCCTCACCCACGTCGAGTCTGCCGCCGTCGCCCTCGGCGGCGGCGTCCACGCCGCGGCGCCGCATCCGCCGGCGGCGCCCGGAGGCCGGCCGGGTCGGAAGTGATGACAGATCTTGGACTGCACGAATCACGAAGCCGGCGAGGACCAGAACCTATTGTTTCTGTGGAATTCAACTCATTGGATCACGTGTCGGGATCCTATCGTATGGAAATGCTGTTCTGTGATCTAAGTTATTGGAGTGGATCATGCTAAGGGTGTATATAGAGTCATTCTTTGGTCTTTGAGTGATAGCCATGCCATCACTATTTAATTTAATTTCTCATTGGAAGCAGAATTAAATGGTTTGTAACTTTTTTTTTTCCTGTTTTTGATGAACTAATTATACTTATTAATTGTACTTATTGGTGATGAGAATTTGGAGGAGGTTTATTACCATTGCACTCATACACTTTGGTATTTGCAATTGATTAATGTTAGTTCAACATATATGTGTATATACATCTTGAATTTGATGATTAATCTTTGTTTGATTGTGAGTTGAGTTATGTTTAATATTATTTTTATATTAATAAAATATTTAAAAATATTAGAAAAACTAAAATATTATAGGGTCATATATATATATATATAAATATATTTATATTTAAACATGAATTCTATAAAAAGAAGTTGACGTATATTAATATTTATAATGGCAAAACGTTATTTGGAAAATTTGCAAGGAGGGATATGTAAAAGCACAAAGAAAATATAGTTTATTGGATTTGGCCTCACACGTCATCGCTCAGGATCTCACGAGATCCATCGGATCCTTCAATCGGATGTCCACCACGAATCTCAAAGCAGATATCCTATAAACATGCTCATTCGTCGAACACCCCTGTGGCCATGAGAAGCGCTCGACAATTTGGAGGATGCTTTGCTCGCTCGCGGAGTTCTTCTTTCCATCGAGCCTTCAATCTATATATCTATTCCCCTCATCGGAGGAACCGTAAGCGAAGCTTCTCCCGATCTGTTCATCAATTCCTTGCGAAGAGGAAACCACGGCGAAGGTTTTGATCTGTTCCATGAGAAAAATAAGTGATCTTTGCGTCCGTTCGTTCATTCCTTCCTATCTCCTCTCTTCTCCCAATCCATAAATTGTTCCCGCGCCTTCCATCACCGATCCAGATTCGCGGTTGCGTTGGAGATTTGTGCCTGTTCTTGTTGCATTGGATCGTTCTTTTGGTATCAGCTTGAAAGCCGCCACCTTTTGTGCCATCTAGACTCCCCAGATCTGCGACCCATCCCCACGGCTCGTCTTCGCGGAAAAGATCGCACTTTTGATTCGATCTCTTCTTCTTTTTTTCCTCGTAGATTATTGGTGGGTTTATAGATCACAATAAGTCTTCTTCTTTCGCTGAAAATTGCAATTTTTTTATTTGTTTTTATGCTAATCTTTGATTTCTTTTATTGGCTTTGGCCTTCTTGTTTTCTTTGTATAGATCAGATTTTTGGACGAGTCCGCAAATTAGGAAGGACATTTCTTTGATTTCGAAGAGCCACAGATCTTTGATCGCCGGGGTTGTGTTTCTAACTTGGTTCTCGAGATTTGCATTGGTTTCTTGAAGAAAGGCGGTACCTTTGCTATGGACAAGTCGCCAGTTCCTGATGGAGGCGGAGACGGAGGCAATGGTGTCGGTTTACCGCCCCATTCATCCAGATACCCCGCCTCTGGCTCGCCCACGGCCTCTTCTTCTTCTCAGCCACCTTCGGATTCTGATCATTTCGGTCACCCGGCACCATCCGAGGGCAGGCTGTTCAGCCACGATGTCAGCCGGATGCCTGATTTCCCTCCAAGAAATCCCGGCCATCGTCGAGCCCACTCGGAGATCCTTAGCCTTCCGGACGATATTAGCTTCGACAGCGACCTCGGTGTCGTGGGGTCGCACGATGGGCCGTCATTGTCCGATGAGGCCGAGGAGGACCTCGTCTCCATGTACATGGATGGTGAAAAGTTCGGGTCTGTTGCTGCCACTGCTGGTCTGTCCAACGGTGAGTCTTCACGGTCTGCATTGTCTCCTGTTCAGGCTCCTCCTCAGGGTGAGATTGCGGCCTCGGGTTCTAGTGAAAAGCTCAGGATAAGGCATCACCATAGCCAATCTCTGGATGGCTCTACTGCAATCAAATCAGAGCTACTGATGTCTGGTGGCGAAGGGCCATCAACTGCGGAGGCGAAGAAGGCTATGTCAGCTGCAAAACTCGCCGAACTGGCTCTTGTTGATCCAAAGCGCGCAAAGAGGTTTGCTTACCAAATGAAGTCAATTTTTCCTTCATATCATTTATGAGACTATGTCCCATGTTACTTGTTAGTTTGGAGGTTTAGGTTGAGATTGAAACCAAATGCACGTAGAACATTTTACTAAGCTATGCACTTTTACCTCTTTTGATGCCAGAGATTTGCTATCTTACATCCGGACACTTATCTATTTCTTGCTATTTGGCTACCGCTTATCCCTAAGTATATAAGGGAACATAAATAAATTTATGGTGCTAGAAAAAGATACCTTTCAATTTGATTAATATATGTGCTTGAATCAAGAACCATCCAAGTCCCTGTGAGCTTTAGTTTTAGCTAGTTTGCATTCTCTTCTTTCATGTATGTGTAGCCAATATAACTTTCATATGCAGGATTATAACTTCAAACTGCACTTGCATAATATAGCCTTGCTTACCATATTTAGTACCCACAAAAACAGAATTCTTAAATCTACATAACTAGTAGTTTGTGATGACCCTCAGACAATGCACATGACTTGAAAATTATTGCTATCAGCTTGAATCTGATTCTGACACCAACTTAAATCACTTGCGATAGTTTTGGATGGACTTTTGGTGTTGTTTGATCATCATCTACTATGAACATCTTGTTGGTTGTGACATATTGTCAAGTTATGTAGCAAAAGGACATATCTTATCTCTTTCATGCTTATTATAACTAGTTATGTCCAACTTAAATTTTAGATAACAATGCAAAAGAGCCCAAGTGTTGTTCATCTTTAGTGCATGAACCCCATATCAACATCTTCAAGTTGCATCTACTCCTGATGAGCTCATCAACAACTTCTCTTGGTATCTATCCATTGGTCGTAATGGTTAAATTGTTCAGTGTTACTTATTGATACAAAGATCAGTCACCATATGCTAAATCTGATTCCTTCTGATTGATGAAGCACGTAGATAACAGACACCAAAAACTTTGGATCTCTGTCATCTGTTTCATTTTGATGAATTATTATCCATCATACGATGCTTGTATTGTTCTACAGTTATGATTTTTGCAATTATTCTCTGTTTGATATCATTTGTGGATATTTTGATTTGCAAATGATAGAACTTCAGTGGCCAAATTCACCATGGCTGTGAAATCCTTAATGTAGTTGTGGCTTGTTCCTTCTTCTAGATAGCTGTTGTAGTTTCTGCAGAACTTGTTTAACTAGTTCCATAATAATTGCAGTACCTTTTGACTTTGTTCAAGTAGTTTGCAATAAATCATGGATTAGGTACATGGTGTTGAAATATTTGTCATGTTTGATGAAGTTGTATTGCTCAGTTACTGAACATTTCCACTCAGGTTAACTGCACCAGCTCTTGGACTTAATTTTGTGCAATGAGTTCCTTACTTGCATGCAGTGCTATGCTTCATGGCGATAGATGCTACACTAAAGTTAGTCGAATGGATTGGTGTGGAACTCCACATTTCAGATTTCTTAAAGGGCTCGCAATCCCAGTCACTTCTTTCAATTGAAGTGCTTTTTTTTGTCAATGATAATGCTAATCCCCCCTTTTGACTTCATTACTTAAATTATCAAAGGAAATATTCAAATATTCTTTTCTTATTATCTTCAAATTGGAACCTTCCTTTTGTCCTTATCATGCTTATTTACTTGCCTTCCAGCCATTGGATCTATGTTCTTCATGGGAACCTAGTGCACAAACTAGTGCACTTGGTTATTACGTTTCTTGAAGTCAGTATTCATGGGAATCTAGGTTATTACCCTTCCTGAAGTCAGTATTAATGGGAACTTAGTGCACAACCTGCCCTTTTCTATGTTCTTGATATCGTTGTTATTCTATGCCTAGTAACAACCTACAATCTGAGTGAAGAAACATACATCATCAAATCACAATGTCTCATGTATTAGAACCAACATGATAACCATTCCAATGGACAGTGTTGTATCTTATTCAGATTAGGTGTCCATGCACAAACATGCTTTCTATGCAACATAGTTGACTTTTATATTTATAAACTGACTTTTCCTGCAAAAAGAAAGCCACTAATTGCTGAAGCATTCACCCTTAGACACCTCAAGCAGGGCTTTCTTTCTTGATTAATCTTGGCTTTCTTTTATAGGATTTTGGCAAACAGGCAATCGGCTGCAAGATCAAAAGAGAGGAAGATGCGATATATCGCAGAGCTCGAGCGACAGGTGCATACTTTCCAAACTGAAGCAACAACATTGTCTGCTCAACTGACAATGCTGCAGGTATTCATTTGCTAATTTCATTATTCGACAGATGTTTACGACTAACACTGGCAGAAGATATTTAGCCATAACAGTTAGGTCATCCACTTATAGTACACTCGAGATTGGCCATAGTGGGTCAATGGGATTCCTCATATATTTGATGAGCTACAAATATAATTGTGTTAAATGGCAAAGTTTGGCAATAAGATTGCTCCTTTCCTTACTAGGGTTTGAGGCATAAACGGTCTCTCTGCATGCAGAGTTTAGGATGCATACATTGACCATCCCTACATGCAACATTGACAAAATCCTCATGCTGAGCCAACCAGTTTTTGTAAAAAGGAAAAGGTCATGCTCATTTATGGCTTGATACAGACTTAACTGATTAAAGCATGGGTGGCCTAACTTGGGCCTTGTACCTACCACCAACCAAGGGAGCGTAACAGATAAGTCATAAATTGGTACCAAATAATATATACTTAATATTCTGCATTAGGAGTGAATAAAACATCTAGCATGAACATCAATCTCTTCCCTCTCTACTTTCTTGCTTTCCTTAGTTTTCTGTTAGCATGGATCAGGTGAATAATGAGGCACAAGTAGTCCTCAGTGTAGCTATTCTTGTGGCCTGATGTTCCTCCTCTGTTGGCTTCCTTTTTCTCTCAAGCTACTTAAATCTGTGCTGGAGATAATCAGATCTGGCTGGACATAGAGATTGTCGAATCTGGCCATATTTGAGGCCTAAGTTTTGGCTGATTTCAGTGAATTCCCAATTCCTTTTGATAAATTCAGACTGATTTCAATTGTTTTCACTGTAGATTTGAGGACTAATATGAGAAACTAAGACATGTCAACTTGATGGGGGTCAATCATTTCAAGCTTAAAATTTGACGTCCAACTGTACATCCAACTAAATTGTTGGATATGGAATATATTATAGATCTTGTAACCTCTTATCAGATTGGATTCATTTCTAGATCCTCTAAGCACTTAGCGGATTTGGATGTGCAGATTTTCTCCAATTTCATCCCGATAGTGGTCCTACCTGTGGAGGCCAAAATTATGGCACCTAGGCCAGAATTTTGGTACATACCTATATGGTTGTACTTGCATTTATGCATTTTAACAAGTTAGTGTTAGGCAGCCTCATCTCCATCTATTGAGTATTTGGGGATTTTCTGAGAGGTTGGAGAATGAATAATTCCTGTAATCTAGGGGATATATCACCATTAGTAGAACACATTTGTCCCGTTGATATAGATCTTATTATCCAATCCTTTTTTATGATTGCCTAGAAAAGGTAGCTTGATTTGATTACCAAGTTAATTTCCACATGGATAACAAGAAAAATAGCTGAATTTAATAATCAAGTTATACTTCAAATGAATATGAAATTTGTGTCTTTGACCAAGTGTGGCTTAGTATATAATCTTCCAGGTTTTCATATTCTTTGCTAGTTGACATTTGAACCTCATAAATTCTGTGAAACATGCAAAAAATTCAGCAAACATGTCTTTGCCACTGACAGAGAGATAACAATGGCCTGACTGCTGAAAATAGTGAGCTGAAACTGCGATTGCAGACGATGGAGCAGCAGGTTCACTTGCAAGATGGTAAGGTTCTCATCTCATATGATGCCTTTTCTGTTACTATTGTAATTTAAATTCTTCAATTTAATTTTGATTTTATCATACTTGCATCCCTTTTTTAAGAAGGGAAGTTAAGGTATTATCATTCATCTAATGGTCATTCACCTATTTCGTCATCCAAGAATGAATTTAACATGCCTATGGCCTGATACTGATAGTATTTGTTTTCATTTACTTGTATTTTCTAGAATTCAAGGCACCAATTGTAACTGTATTTTTGACAAGAATGACTGACATTTATCATTTTTCACAAATCTGGCAATGTGATTTGATGCTATTACATTGAATCTCCTAATTTGGTGGTGGTTTCTTTGAATATCATTGTTCTATCCATATTAGCATGTAGATTGATATCTCCTTTTTTACATCCAAGTAATAGTGTTCCAATCAAAAGGGCAAAGTTATCAAAAAGAAAAAAAAATCCTCTTTTTATACTTTTACTGCAAAGTACACTATTTTGGAATTTTTAGCACCGAGTTTTCCTCAAGACTATGAAATTCCAACGATGGCTCTGTTATGATAGCTGATACACTTCAGGAATTCAAAAATGTGAGCGGAAGGTATTTTAAATAAAAAAAATGATCTTCTTTGGTAGATTCCTGTTGTTCATATTTAGTCTCCTTTTCTGAAGTTGTTTCTACATTGTTTTCTTCCTTACTTTCTCTCTAGTCTTACGTTTTCTTAGGTTTTCTTTATTTTTACTGCAAAGTACACATTCTGACTCGATTGTTTTTTTCCTCACTTTCTCCCAATTCTTATGTCTTTTAGGTTACCTTTAGTTTCTTAGTGACAATAGGCATTGACATTCTGCCTAAATAATAGACACAAGTGATAAATAAAAGAATACTAAAAATTTGAGTCGAGAATTTTTAAAGGTATCTATTAGATTTGTTTATGTACCATCAAATTGGGGGACATTTTAAGGATTTCAAGAGATAGGGATACTCTACAGTAAAAACCCTAAAATGAAACCCTTCGTGGTGGTAGCTTTCATTTTCGGTAAATCATCCCAATCAAACTGCTTCAACCATTGATTTTCCCTTGTACTGTTCAACAATTAAAAATATGCACTTTGAAAACTCTTTTTAATTGGTGTAGCACTGAATGAGGCACTGAGAGAAGAGGTTCAGCACCTGAAGTTGGCCACAGGTCAGATGTTGCCGAATGGTGGACCGATGATGAATCTTGTTTCATCTCCACTCGGAGCAAACCATCAATTTTACCACCACAATCAAGCGATGCAGTCCCTCCTGGCGGCACACCAACTTCAGCGGCTCCACATCCAAGCTCAACATCCGCAACAGCTACCGTCACATCAGAATCAACAGCAACGGCAGCTGCAGCAGCATCCAGCTCAGCTGCTGCACCAACATCCAGCTCAGCTGCTACAGCAGCAGCAGCAGCAGCTGCTGCTGCCTCATCTCCCTGGCAGCGATAGCAGCAGCAACCATCTGCAAACCTGAGAATGAATGGACAGTCCATTTTCCAGTCAATTAGAGATACCGAAATCTTGATCTTGTTACTTATAGAGTTGAAATCTTGGGCTACCGAAATCTTGAGCTACAATGAACATAGTTACCTATTGTAGTCAGTTCTCTGGATTGGAATGCAAGCTATGTAGTGTGGCTCTCACCAATTGTTCTTCAGAATCTGAATGAAGAGTGGTGCTTTGGTCTATTTTACTGTGCTACATTGCATGGATGTGCAGCTCCTTGTTGAATGAGATCACTGACTTGCAGTTTGCTCTCTTGCATGGCCTTGATGATAAATATGCAACATTTCTGCATATTTATGGTTAAATAAAGAACCAAATGTGTCGACATTAACTTGTTGAGTCTGAATCACTGATATAAAAAATAGTTTTATATTTTTTGAAATATTCTTACACTTCTAATGAGAGATTAAACCAGAAATGTTGAGATCAGGTCATCTCAATTCTTGTCATCTGAAGTGAATCTACCAAAGTAGAAGTAAGAGATGTAAACCATTTCTTACTATTATTCAACTCCTCTCATGTAATCTTAAAATATTGTTTCCCATATTAAAATATCATTATCTACTTCCTAACCATGCATGCAGTAATAAGGAATATATTTTGGTAATTAATACATATTTCCAATCTTGAAAACCTAATAAGGAACAATTTAATAATTGTAAATTAAAAATAAAATCGAAATTAAATTAAATCATAGTTTATTTGAAATCCTCCCCCCATCCCCTTTATAAACCTCTTATTTCATCTATCTTGGTGGGAAAGGAGTTTGAAGGGAAGCAAAAATTGGTGGAAGTCTCTATCTCTCTATCTCTCTCTCTCTAAAAAATGATAGGGTTTTCGCTATATTTTATTTTTAAGTTTTATAAGAAATTTGGTGTTTTTATGAAATATTTGAAGGTTTAGGTTAACCACAAATTAATTTTTGGTAAAATTATAACTACATGCAAAATTTGTTTTATGAATTTAGCTTCATAAATGGACACTTGAACTTTAATATTTTATGCTCGAATTGTTATTTTATTTTCATCATACGATTTATAATTTTTGTGTAGATATATGGATTTAGTATCTATCACTCTCATAAATAATATGGGTATTTTATTAAAATTATCTTTATGCAATAGAATATTACTATAATTTATTATAAAATTACTAAAAATTATCCTTGGAAATTGTGTCTCAAAATTTGAGGGAAAAAAAAGAGAAGGCAAGGGAAATTTTATAATAAATAAATTTAAAATTTATAATATAATTTTTATCATGTATATGATATATATCTCAGTACGTGCGAGAGATAACTCATCACGGTACGGAGCCACCATCAAACGAGATCTCTCGTGCCATATACAAAGTATGGTTTATCATTTTCAACACATATCTAAATGTCTAATTAAATATCATTAATTTTGAGTTATAAAATCTTTCGGATAATTATAATAAGATATGTGAAATTTCAATTCTTGAATAAATTGAATTAGTCAATAATTGTTCTAGATAGATATTTTTTGAATTATGGTTACCTTCTGAGTTGTGTTGTTAAAAGAAAAAAAAAAAGAAAAATCTGATTAACTCAGCAATATTTGTCATAAGGAAAAAAAAAATCCCCATTTAATTTCTCCTCCATATGTTTTGTTTGGCTATATAGTTGCATAGAACAAAAGACTGGTTGGTAAGCAAATTGACTGTTAGAGATGGATCTCATGGAATTAATGATAGAGAATGTGTTCAACTAATCACACACTCAGCTGTTCAATCTTCAGCGTTTTAGATGGACTTCATGAAAGCCACAAGTAAAAACTCAACCTTTCTCCATGAAATGAAAAGGTGGAGGGAAGTGTTTATGAGATTTGAAGTATTTAAATGTGTTGGGGGAGAGAAGATTTCAAAACAAAGGCAGAGATATTTCATATCAACAATCAAAGAATAATTAAGGAAAAAATCGACATAAGATTTGCGGATCGTTAGTGAAATCCATTTCAAACATAAATTCTTATATATCTTCTCGTATAAATCTCGAAGAATTTTTTTTAATCTTTTCTATCACTTTTCTTATGTCTCGCTTCTATTTATCGACTAAATAAATCTTAAATCACGAAGAACTGTTTTTTATACTTAAATTTATAATCTAAATTCTCTTAAGTACTCCTAAATGATTACCAACTCCAAAGAGACTCTTTTAAGTACTCCTAAATGGTTACCAACTCCAAGAGAAGGGTTGGTTGGAGGCACATGAATCTCTACTCAACGTTTGGACCGGCAGTTGATCGAGCTATAATCTATTTTGCAGCACTTTTGATCTAAAGAAGAAGAAGAAGAAGAAGAAGAAGAAGAAGAAGAAGAAGAATGCATTCGAGATCATTAGATTCACTGCTATCTCTGACGGTGGAGAAACTGTCTTCTCCGACGAGGTCTAACGTGGCCTCACCTTCATCTTCTCCTCCAACACCACCATCTCCGCTTCCGGTCAGCGTAGGACCGGGCGACCGTAAGTATCCATTCTGGCCATCGCCGTCACCGTCACCGTCGCCACCGGTCTCTCCGCCAGGCCAGTCCCCGCCAGAGACCGCATTGCCGCTCTTGCGCCGGCGACGGTCGCAGCCACTTGAAGAGCTTTCTACTTTCTCTTTAGATGGCTCGTCTTCCACTCCAAGAAAATGGTGGCAATACTTTGTCAGCTGGTAAGTTGAATGATACCCACCACATGAGACTTGCAGAATATGACCTAATTGGAGCATATGAACTTTCAGGTTGGAGTGGCTTTTGCTGAGATGTTGCTGCTGCTCCTCCTCCTCCTCCTCCTTGCTGCGAACAGTTCCATCTCCATCACCTTTGAAGCAATGCTAAACATTCTTGAGAAATCTTTGTAGGTTTTAATAATGTTATTTTTCTTCTTTGAAGTTGTTGTAGCACAACAGTATCTGCATGCCTTCTTTGTGTTGCTCTTCTCATGATTTTTCTATGCCTCTTCTACTTTTATCTTCTGCCAATCTACTAATTAAGAAGTTCCTGTTAGATTAGCATTTCTGTTAAGAAATAAATTATTTTGTAAGAATTTAATATCAGAATTAAAATCAAGTAAAATCTAATACAGAAAATACTTAATTTTTAAATATGATAATTAATAAGATACTTTGAATGTTGTGAACCGATACATCATGATTTACATAAAATAATTAATTAAAAAATATTTACTTTTTTATTTTCAAAATCTATAAGTCTAATTTTATGTTTTTTTCTTTTCTCTGTGAAATGTTTAAGTTAATTCACATAAATTTCTTTATCTAGATTTCTCTTCACAAAAGTTTTTAATATTTAATGTAACTCAAAATTATAATAAGCTACTAATGATTCTTAATGAGTCTATTAGATAAACTAGGGAACATATCTCGTTATGATCAATATTTTCTTTATGAGTAAAATAACTTTATATCGTTTGACACTACCTTTGAGTCATATTTAATCTTAAAAGCTCATATATCATAGACTCTTACAATTATTATGTAATTCGATGATTTTTAAATATCATCTGGTCTATTGATTTAACTTTTTTTTATATATTTATTAATTTTCAGAATCATTACTTTCTATAAATTATAAAAACAATGAAAGATCTTTTGATTCTTATAAATATACCATATAAACATAAAAAATTGTGTCTCTTTTCCTTTTGAGATGTTCTCAAAACTATCCATTGTGGTTGTTCTATAAGTCATCAACAATGATATTGATATTATATGAGTTTATTAATGTTATTTTATTATTTACCTTCATCAAATTGTTTAGTGATTTAAGGAATAATTTCTTGAATATAAAATGATAAAGAAGTATCAAAGTATATCTTCTCAATATCAAGATTAAAATTTAAGATTTTCACTTCTAGTAATTCATTATTTTTTTAAAAAAATATTTTACCAAATTTAACTATCCTTACAAGAACTAGAATTATGATCAAGTTCACCATATCTACTATATAATTTACCACCCCTCCTAGATTTGTTAATTTTAATATTTATATCTAATTGTCTTTTGATTTCATTTATATACACATAAAGATATCAAAAGCTTGGAACCTAATATGAATTAGATATACATAGTTATATCTTAAAAAGTTATCTATAAAGATGATAAGATATTTCTCTCTACTAAAACATAGAACATAGAGTGACTCGAAGATGTAAGCATATATAATCTTAAAATGTTTATAAAATTATGTTTCATTCTAATATTTGATTACACAGTGGTTGTAAACTCAAGATTCATATTAATTTTATATAAACAATCATACAAAATTTTATAACCAACTGAATTATAAATATATTGAGTTTATCATTATTAAAAGAAAACAATAATCTAATAATTCTAGAATTATAGTAATATATCATGTATCAATAAGATCCATTAGATGAATCATGTTTAGACATAGGTGATAAGCATCCACTACTATCACTTTCACTTTAAAATGGTTCCTTACACATTGTTGGTTATATAAGTTGATAAGTTGATGTGTCATAATCATTTCATCAAGTATTAGAAAGGGACCTCCGTAACATTTAATTTGAAACATACAAATGTTAGAAAGGGACCTCGGTAGCTTAAATCTTATAGTCATTTTCACATTATCTTTCTTGTAATAGAAGTAGCATTTTAATATAAATATTTTCATTTTATTAGTTTATATTATATTTATAAACTCAGTCAATTTATTTAATAAATTATACTTCAATATTTTATTATTCCTAACTCCTTCAGAAGTACTCAAAATATTATGAGTCTTTCTTATTTTAATTTTAATTCTTTTTAAATATATATACTAATCAACTGATTTAAATTCCACTTATCATTTATTTATTATAACAAATTTTAAATGAGTCAAACTGACTCATCTAACTTCATACTCAATATCTTTAAGTTTTATAGTTTTGTAAGTCATAACTAGGATATATCATAGAATTATTTAAGTATCATAATACTAAATTATAGTCAGTTGTTTCATAAAGGTACTAGTTAATGACTTATTAATAATTTTAAATCAATCTTTTAATATTCTAATATACTAGTTATATTCTGTATTGAAGTCTAAATATTATTAATAATTATTAAAAGTGAACCTTTTAGATTTTTTAATCATTTAACTATTTATCTTATATAACTTTTAATGGTTAAGTCTATAATCCTTTCAATAAATAATGCTAAATTATATGTTCTCAAGCTATTTATAATAATTTAATCTAAAAAATATAAAAATATTTATAAGAATAAAATGGAAAAAGTACCATTGTAATAAAATAACATAATATTAATACTTTGAGTTTCTTAATAAATATTGAACCATTGATATCATCCATATTTTATATTTGGGTGAAATATTGATATATCTAGTGTTCATATAAGATTTTACTATTATGGAGGATTGATATCATACTCATAAAATAGTATTATTATATTTGAGTATACAACCTTAAATTACAAAAATATTCAAAATAGTATCATGCTATTTAACCTCATAATCATTCAAAGTGGATTCTTTTTTGAAATTACTTAAATATTTTAATTATATATGCCTTTGTGAATATTATTTAAAATTAATTTCTTAATATAATTTTATAAATTCTATCAAGACTAATTCCCTAATATAAATCCTATCAAAACTAAACCAATCAAAATTTGATCAAAATTATATTTTAACCAAAGTCAAAATTAAATAGTTGTCAAAAGGGTAGAATTGGAAAAATAAATTAAAAGGGCAACCCAAAATAGAGTCAAAATGAGGGATTTTGATTAAAAAACTAGGGCTTTACTGTTTTGGGTCAAAATTGATTTTGACCAAATTGGGTCAAAATCAAGTGGCTACCCAAATCATGTAGCCTTGTCCTTAACCTCCTTATTGTGGCGCGGTCGTGCTCTCGCCAATGAGCAACATCGGCATTGTATTAAGGAGTGACCAAACCACCTTGCTAAGCATGATCGACTATTGCCACATAGCTGAGAGATTATCGAAGCTATCGAATCTTTGCTAAACGTTGGATTTGTTAAAGTGGAGAAGACATTCAAAGCTATCGAATGTAGGGAAAATCAGAAAATGTCTTTCGCTTCTTTCATTTTGGAATGGAAGGCAAACACGGACCTCAAAAAGGAGGATGTTAGAGGCTGGAGGTAAAGTGGTAATTTGGAAGTAGTTTAAGGATGCATTTTTTAGTAGTTCTTTCCTGATTCGGTTTGTTTTGAGAAGCAACAAGAGTTCCTTAGCATCCGCCAAGGAAGTAGAACTATAATGAAATATAATTATTATTTCACTGAGTTGGCTCAGTTCTCTTCACATATTACTTTCAATGAAAGTTAAAGAGCTCGTCATTTTAAGAGGAGACTTCGATCATCAATTAGAAAGTCCGTTGCAGTACTAATTTTACCAATATATACTGAAGTGTTAAATCGAGCTCTGGTGGTGGAGAAATTGGATAATGAACTATAACAAGCAAAGGATCGAAAGCGACCTTTTAGTGTTACACTAATTGCGTATGAGAGATCATATTCTGGACCCTCAAAGAAAGGCAAAGACAAACAGTTTGGGAATTAATAAGCAAGAGCTTCTAGTAATCAAGTCGTCATAAGATACTATTTCTATGGGAAGACATATCATGTTTCCACCTCATGTCCCATGGGATGTGTATGTTTTTATTATCAACAACCGAGGCATATGTCGAAGGATTGTCCTCAGAAGCAACATCAACGCCGAGCTCCACCCCAAATAGCTGGACAACAACAACTAAGACCCAGAGAGGGAGGATAGACAAGAGTCTATGTACTGACTCATCAAGATGCTAAAGCCTTGGAATCTATTATTAAAGATATCATCACACTCTGTGGTATGTCAGCATCTGTGCTTGTAGATTCTGGTTCTATGCATTCTTTTATATCACCCTATTTTGCTATGAAATTGTATAAGAATTGTGAGACAATAAGTAATGCATTAATGGTAGTAACACCAGTTGAAAATTCTTTGATAGTTGATCAGATATATAGAAACTACGTTATTACTAGTAGATCTTATTCTACTAAAATTATAAGATTTCGATGCTATCTTGGGTATGGACTAGCTTTCAATATACCATGCAAGTGTCGATTGTCTCTGAAAAACTGTTACTTTCTTATCCTTAGATCAATCATCTTTCAAGTTAGTTGGGATTCAAGAAAACCTCCCTCCTATTATTTCAGCCTTAAGTGCTATCTAACTATTACTGAAAGGATGTCAGGGATACTTAACCTTCATTTCTAGAGAAGAATATAAGAAGCTAGTATTTAAGGACATCTCCAAGATTTTTCAAATATTTTTTCCTTAAGATCTACTTGTACTGTCACCAAATAAACAAATTGAATTTACAATTGATCTTCTACTTTGTATTGTACTTATTTCTAAACCCCCGTATAGAATGGCACCAATTGAGTTGGAGGAGTTAAAGAAACAGATCCAAGAGCTTTTGGATAAGGGTTTTATTCGACCTAGTGTATCACCTTGGGGTGCCCTTATCCTATTTGTGAAGAAAAAAAATGGATCTATACGACTATGTATCAATTATAGATAATTTAACCAAGTGATCATAAAAAATAAATATCCCCTTCTCCGAATAAATGACCTATTTAATCAACTTCAATGTGCTTAGGTATACTCGAAGATTGATTTGAGATCCAAGTATCATCAACTGAAGATAAGGGAAAGAGACATATATAAAACTGCTTTTAGAACAAGATATGATCATTATGAATTCTTAGTAATGCCTTTTGGATTCACAAATGCACCGACTGCCTTCATGGATCTCAGTGTTCCACTCTTATCTTGATAAATTTATAATTGTGTTCATTGATGATATCTTGATCTACTCCAAAAGCAGAGCAAAGCATGAACACTATCTTAAGACAGTTCTGGAAGTCCTAGGCAAGTATAATTTCTT